ACTTCTGTTTTCATGATGAATCTGGATATCGCCACTCCATGGACTGTTTTTTTGGATTCCAGCTCATAGTGATGACACCAGTCTCATCTCCAATGACAATGCTGTCCAGAAACTTGTCACCTTCAGCCTCAAACTGTTGCAACAGGTCCTGACAGACTTCCATTTGATGAGTTTTGTGGTTCTGTGTAAGCATCCATGGGACCCACCTGGAACAAACTTTGCGATAATCCAGCTTCCCTGACATTGTTTCCAATGCATTACAGCTGATATTAAGCCATGCACACAGTTCCCTGGTCTTTATCCGCCGATCTATACGGATGAGCTGATCGAGACACTGTTCATTGTGAGGAGTGGCACCTGAGCAGGACGCCCAGGGCGCGGTTTGTCGCNTGATGCAAACTAGTGTCCACGAATATCTCTCTTCAGGTCTCCAAAAAATGTGAAAATCACATGGGGAGAGATCTGGGCTGTAGGGGGGATGTTGAAGCACTTCCGAACCAAATCTCTGTAGCATATTCCTCACAGAGTTGGCAGTGTGGGGGCGCGCATTATCATGAAGACAGATAATGCCGTTCTGGTAGACTGCTCTGCTGTCGCTATTTGTTGCACGACACCAAACTAACAGTACATTGGCGGGAAGGTTCAATCTTTACTACAACACCACCAACATCCAGCTCAGACGTTACATATTAACACAAAAAAATAGGAGGCATTATATATGGAATGCCCTTCGTATATATAATAAAGATGACATTTTGCATTTCATGACAAAATAATCATGGTATATTTTCATTTGTAAAAATTGCTCTTTTGTGTATGTGTAGAAAATGTTATTGTTTTCCAGGCTGTTTTAGTTTGTATTTCTATGTTGCATAGAATGGAAAATATGTAGATTTTTTCTGAAAGTCTGCAACTTTAAAGACTTATGGCTATTTAAATTCTGGCCGCAGCAGGCTCTCAACAATTTAAAAGTCCATGCTTTAAAGGTTAAACCAAGGGCTTATGGTCAAAGTACTCGTATATAATACAGTGATTGGATGAGATGCTGCAGCAAGGTAACTTCTTTGCTGAATCATATAAACTATTGCATCAAACGATATGAAATACATTAGTAAATAAATGTGTTGTAAGATCTGCTAGAATTGTGTGCGTTATGCTGGGTACAGCTAGTTCTTATAGAAGACAGAACAGGTAAAAATAAATGTAAATCAGTGTAACTGTTGAATTTACACATCAGACTGAAAAGAATATATCTTGGTTTCCATTTTAGTAAAATGTGATTTTGTGAAAGAGGTTCTGTAGGTCTGCTAAGGATTCTAATCATCATTACATAGTAGTTTTTTAACTGGAAAAGAGTGTGGGTGTGTGTGCTTATATATATATATCTGTGTGTGTGTGTGTGTGTGTGTGCGCGCGCGTGCGTGTGTGTGTGTACAAGGGTTGGAACTTTAATAGTGGCAACTATTTATTTACAACTGATACAAAATAGATGCCTGTTTCAAAGTTTTACTGTCCTTCAATGTAATCACTAGCATTGTGTAGAACCCGTTGCCAGCGATGTGGAAGTCGTAGGATACCTTTAGCAGCACCTGTTGTGTTGATAGTTCAAATGGAGTGGTCTACTGCCTGAAGAATCTCTGGAACAGTTCTGAAGCCAATGCCATGAAGTGGTTCCTTCATCATAGGAATCAAGTCAAAGTCACAAGGGCTTAAGTCCAGGGAGTATGGTGGATTGTACAGCACTTCCCAGCCCCATCGATTGAACAGATCATCCACAGCTTGTGCTGCATGCGGCCAAGCATTGTCCTGCAAAATGATGGGCAGGTTCTGCAGCAAGTGTCGCCGCTTCTTTCTCAAAGCTGGTCGCAGGTTGTGTTCCAAAAATGAACAGTAATACTGCGCATTGACAGTCTGCTGTCAGGGAATGGTATGCGTTAGGATAACACCATCACAGTTGTACACGGGAATCACCATAACTTTCACATTGCTGAGGTTCTGACGAACTTTTGATTTTCGTGGTGACCCGTAATGACGCCATTCCTTTGATTGGCGTTTCATTTGTGACTCGTACGATTTGCCCCATGTCTCATCCAGCGTCATGATACAGCATAAGAAAGCCTCTCTTTTGCGCTCATAGCACTCCAAGTGGTTACGAGCAGTATTGTATCGTAGCCATTTCTGCATTTCCATCGAATCATGCGGAACCCATTGTGATGCAATTTTTCTCAGGCCCAGGCATTCCTTCAGAATGTAAAGCACAGTTGTATGCGTAATCCTGTCTCTCAGGCCAGCTCACGAATCTTACGGCGTCGATCACTCTCCAGTAATGCAGATAGAGCATACACTTCTTCACTGACACTAGGACAACCTGGCCGACACATGTCTGCCACATTTTGGCGTCCCTCGTTGAAGGCTTTTACCCACCTTGCCACTGTTCTGTAAGGCAATGCAGATTCCCTGCAAGCCTCTTGAAGACCTTGATGACACTGTCATGCTATACAGCCTCTGACACATTCAATCTTTATTCAACTCCGTTTTTCCTGTTTCAAAGACATCATGACAGCACTACATTAGACCGCCAGCTAACATGAAGCTCTGTTCTTCTCGTCACCGCGCATGCGCCTGATATGGGAAGGGAGAGTCCATTTGCTCTGAGGTAAGGTAGGTATGTAACTAACGTGTGGTATAAGCGACATTATTTGGTTCCGTTGAATGACGTCTCTACAGCAATGTTACCACTATTAAAGTTCCAACCCTCATATATCAGTAAAATATGAGATTTTTGTTATGTTTTAAGTTATAATTTTGTCATCCCATAGTAATTTCTGAAAAAGAAACACAGTCATTTAATTGGTTGATTTTTATGTTGACAGGCTGTGGCAGGAAAGTCAAATGAAATGAAACTTAAGACTTACAGTGATATCTGCAGATCATTTCATCCAGTCTTCCGTTATTTCTTCTTGGAGAATTTTCCAACACCGGGAGTTTGGTTTGAACGGAGACTTGCCTACATTCACAGGTAAGGAAAGCAGTGCAGTGTTTTATTAGTACTTGGATATAATGTGTATACAGTAAGCTCTTGATTGTCTGTGTAGGAACATTTGGAGTTCTTTAATTATTGATTATAGCTTCCCTTAATGATTTGAATGTTGCCCATAATGTATGGTTGAGTAATATATACATATAAACGATGCTTTACAACAATTTGCAGTAGACTGTACATCATCTTGCCCTGTTGCAACTTTCTGTTTTATTACTCTATTGCATTTCATGCCATCCTACTGCCGCTGAACAAGGGTTGTTTCTTCTGTTGGAAAGATATTTCTTTCACTGTGTAGTGACCAATAGCATGACCAGTATATAATACTTCAGTGATTTTCTGGGTTTAAAGCAGCATGGGTAGTCAGTATTTCCAAATTTTTGGATTATTCCTTCTTTCAATTGTCCATGCTTCTTCTGTCATCCATTATTGTGGACAGTGGAGAGTTTGCTGCACATACATCATGCATGAAGAGAGACAGGAGTGGTGAAAGGAATTCTCATAAGTATGACAGTTTACAGGTGATAATGACTTGCATGAACTTCATATCAGGGCTATTTGGAAAGTAATTTCTGTGTATTTTAGGCAAATAAAATAGGAACAGGAGAGAGCTTGCACATGCGAGGCATTTATAGTTTATGTTATGTGCAAATTGTGCACATGATAAACCCCTTCTGAGAAGACTGATTGCAATCAAATTGATATTCATGCAAACCAAATTACGAACCAGAATTAAATGTGACAACTTGTGGTGTATGTAACACTGCTGTAACTCAAACTGTAAAATGTAAAAATTATAGTATGGTTAATGAATAGGTGTAGAAGGATAAGTTGTGGCCTGATAAGGAGTACTATCTCAGCTTTTGTGTGGATTGACTGATGAGAATCTTAAAACACTTCAGTCAGGATACTTGGTTTCTGGGCCACAATTTGAACCAGGATCTCCTGAGCAGCTAGCACCAGACTTCATAATAGTCTGATTTGTAGTTTCAGAGATGAAATGGGAAGGCTAGACACTGTCTCTCCCTTCTCATATCATCCAGACTGGCCCTGGGGCCTACCCAGGCTCCTATCCAATGGATACCAGGGCAGTTTTTGCGGGGGTAGAGCGGCCAGAGCGTGAAGCTGATCACTCACCTCCAACTAGTGCCAAGGTCAAGAAAATGTGGTCATATACATCCACTCCCACATAAGTTTTCATGGCATAGTGATTAATTAGTTAAGCACAGGGACAACTTTACCTTATTTTACTTGTCTCTTTTACATTCTCACTAAGCAAAGAACATACAGTAATTCCACAGCAGCTGTGCTAGAACTGATTCTTATGGCCAGTATTGTTTTTGGTATGCATGTGGATAACATCTTCTTAATATGGCCTTTTAAACCACCTACTCATAAATATCATGTACACACTACATGACAAACATGGTTTTATCGGATAAGACTTGAAAGGATTCTGACGATGGTGTATACTGCACTTCTTTCAGCTTGTTTTGGACTTCATCCATCGTCTGGTATGTAAAAGACAAAAGACCACGTCATTTCAGAGACTGGATCTGTCTCTGTCTTCAGGTGGGTAGGGAAGGATAAACCTACTCAGTTTGGCCCATTAGAAAGAGCTAGTCTCAATCCTCAACAGACGGCACAGTGTGTCTATAGCATTCCCTGTGAATGTGGCAGAAGCTACATTGGTGAAACAGGCAGACCGCTGACTGTGTGAATCCGTGAACAGAGGCACAATCTCAAGCAGGGTCTTCTAGAGAAATCCAGGTTGGCTCAGCATGCATATGAAGAGGGTCATAAGGTAAGCTGGGACGAAGCTAGGATCTTGGAGGTTGAAAGTAACAGCAGATACAGAAAGTACAAAGAATCAGCTCATGTGGCATGTTCAACCAATCTGATCAGCCAATCCGGTTTGGATATTTCTCCCATATGGATTCCCCTCATCAATGAAGAGGTTAACAAATCAAAAATGTAAGTTTTTATGAATATTAGTGGCTTCCACTACTTCTGCAAGTTTTTCTCTGGGGATTAGTCTGATTCCCGAAGTCACCCTGGTGGCACGATTCTTTATTCACACAGATTAGGCAAGTTTTTACTTTCGTTTTTAACTGAATTCCTGGAATTTAATCTATACTTCTGTTTTTTACATTGTTGACATGTGCATGTTTGGCACAAATTTTTTATCGTGTCTTTTACTGTGATTTTATTCTTATCTCCCACTGGTGTTCATAGGGTGTTTTCTACAGACTGGGGTTTGTCCAGTGATTGAGACTAGCTCTTTCTAATGGGCCCAACTGAGTAGGTTTATCATTTCCCTACCCACCTGAAGACGGAGACATATCCAGTCTCCGAAACGTCATGGTCTTTTGTCTTTTACATACCAGACAATGGATGAAGTCCAAAACAAGCCGAAAGAAGTATGGTTTTATCTGGCTATGCAGAATATATGCTGTGTTTCCAAGCTCTAATCTTGTGTTTGTAAGTGTGTTAAGAGTGCTGTATGCAACAGCAATATGTTGACAAACTAGAAAGCACCAAGAAGTGATTATTATAATAATAAATGCTCAATAATATACTCATTATTTCAGCACAATATTAAGTTATCAGTACATTAGAAATTTAATCATTATGGACTTTTATATATACAGAGTCTTTAGCTTACTATTGGCTAGTCAGCTTAGTGAGTTAATTTTCTTATAGTGTGGCCACATCGTCCATGATTGGTTACATCCTGGGACTAGGTGACAGGCACACCGTGAATATTTTGGTGGACAAATCTACAGCTGAAGTGATTCATATTGATTTTGGTAAGCTGCCAATTATGTAATAATTTGATGGCTTCATGGAGTTATATACAGCTACACTTTGACCTTCAGCAAGATAAATAATGCAATTTTGAAATTATCTCCAGATCATATTCATTTGGAAGAGCCGGGATAGCATAGTCAGTACAGCGACTAGCTATGGGCTAAACGACTGAGGGGTTGGAATTCGAGTCCCAGTAGTGTAAAGAATTTTCTCCACGTCATGCAGAGTGGCTCTGGGGTCCACGCAACCTCCCATCCAATTGGTACTGGGGTCTCCTTCCCCGGGGGATAAAGTGGCTGGGGTGTGAATCTGACCACTCACCTCCAGCCAGTGCTGAGGTCAAGAAAATGTGTATCTGTACATCCACTCCTCTATACGCCTTGAAGGCGTAGTACTTCATTAAGCACAGGGACAACTTTACCTTTACCTCATGTTCATTTGTTCTGTGTTAATATTAGCTGCTCTAGAGATTTTGAGCAGGAAATATCTTCTGCAAGAATGTTACTCACAGCATCATTCCAACCTTGAGGACTACATGAGAGCCCCCCATAAGGTACCTTTCATATTTTTACCTGTGGGTCTTCATAATCTTCCTAGGGTTCACCAAGCTCCTATTGTTTCACCCTCTGATTAGTCCATTATAATTCTTTTGAATTGGAATGGGAGTTCTGGACTCAGGCATATATGAAGTAAAACTGGTATTTTTGTAAAATTTATTGCATTTCTAAAAATATCTTGTGATACAAAATATAATACTAACTTTATAGTCTCATATAAGAAGTCGTTGTTAAAAACACCATTTAAAATTTTAGTGAGTCCCATTTACTTGCCCATTCTCTTCCTTCTGAAACCTGTTTTATATCCTTGTAAACCCTCACACATTGTCCACAATTTTTCCCTTTACATTATGAACCATCCTCACATCCTCTCAGGCAACATTCACTATTGTTTCCTTGTATTTCTCTTCACCTCGCATGGCACAGCAACATACCAAGAACACATCCTCTTCCATGCTCCTGACAGTTTATTGCTGTCGTCACCTCCATAGCAGTCCATCATTCACCTTCCCTTTAATATAAATAAGAAAAGAAAAATGGGGAGCGAGTATTGTTGTTGTCGTCAACAGTGATGATGATGATGATTTGAGGTTGGTGCATGGCAGTACATTTCATACACACTTGTATTATTGTGTTATGTTACTCCTGTCTTTATAGGAATTGCTTTTGAGCAAGGCCATATTCTACCCACTCCTGAAACTGTACCTTTTAGACTCACAAGAGATATGGAAGATGGCATGGGTGTCTCTGGAATAGAAGGAATATTCAGGAGGTAATGCATGCCAAAATGAACATCTACTTATATTGTAAAATATTCTTGAGGGGGATATCAGGAAATGTACCATTAAGGGCTAAAATTGGTATGATAATATGGTTATATGGTTGGCGTGGATCAGTGAGGATTGTGCCTTAAAACTTGAGGCAGACTGTTATAAGGAATTGAAATCCAAATGTATGGGTATCCAAATTTTAACTTCGTAAAATTACATCTACATCTTAAACCTTATATTATGTTACTTATGTTTGTGTATATATACTTGTTATATATATGGGGGGCACTATGCTACAAGCTGGAAGGTCGCGGGATCGAATCCCAATGATTTGGATTTTTTTTTAATTTACCTAATGCTTCCAGCCGCACCATGGCCCTGGGGTCAACTCACTCTCTAACATAAATGAGTACCAGAAATATTCTTGGGGGGTAAAGCGTGGCCGGTGCGTAAGGCTGACAACCTTACCGCCATCTATGAGCTGATCTTCTAGAAAATGTGGGAACCTCAACATGTCACAACCCTATGGGCCACCACAGCCTGCTGCAGGGATACCTTTACTTTTTACTTGTTATATATTGTGAAAATCATTGAAGTAACACTGCAAATTGTCAGAATGGACAGTAACACATAGTTACATGAAGTATTACCTTGTTGGATGTGACACCATGTAATCTGGTAGTTCACCCACATTTCCAAGAACATGCTGCCTCTATCTTCAGGGATTGAGAGTTAAGCCAAACATGAAGCAGGCTGCAAGCATATTGCACTTACCAGGGCATCCATCAACTCTGAGCCTTCTGTGCTTCTCTTCTGCAGCAGCTTCTTCTTCCTTTCATACTTCCCTTCCTACATATCTTGTGCTCTTATCCTCTGCCATTTGCTTGTATCCACTGACATGACTTCACCCCCATCCTTCCTCATTCCTCTACCTTTTTCTCATTCCCTGAATAAAAATATGCCCCTTTTCATGACTGTTTAGTTATTCTTATCTGCTAGTGGTTTGGTCAAAGCCTTGTAAGAAAAGTGGATCTGCTCCCATTGGCTGTCCCTCATTTCCTTCCTGTCATGTATTAAGTCCTGGTTTTCAACCCATGATTTTCTCTGCTTACTGCCTGTTTCTTGCTGGTATCTTGTTTGGCTTACTTTTTGACCTTGAAAATGGAAGTTGTACAGTAAACTCCCATCAATCTGAGTTAATTTGGGGTGAGAGGTCATCCAGATTAAGCAATAAAAGCTATAATCGGGATTAGTGAAGCAAAAGCATGAGCTAAAAAACAAAAAAACAAAAAAAAAAGAGCACAAATAAATGGAAAATTTAATGATATAAATAGTGCTGACGAAAATAAGTAAAAAAAATATCACTATAGAGCCTTTATTTAAAAACTATAAAAAGACAGTGCACTTATTCATCGATAGAAGTTTCAGGAAGTTCTGCTTGTTTTTGAACGTGATAATGCATGTTTGAAGAAAGTGTCAAGTTTTGTCTGAACAGACAAGTGACTCATCTGGCTTCCTAAATGCCATGTTTCTTTTTAAAGTATGTACTTAACTGTGAAGAGCACTTTTCATATTTTGATCAGGATTAACTGTAACCAGATTAGCGAAAGTTTACTGTATATTCCTCTAAAACACTGGTGGACTTAATGCTACATCCCAGAAGATAGTACTTTTCATGGTCACTGTTATGAGAACTTTCCAACCAAACAAACATGCATTTCCTTGTAATATCATTATTTCAATTTATGAAGGCAGAAATTTGACTTGACACAAATTTGGCACTGAAAAGGCACTGTACTGTGTTCATTTTGGATAAATATCTTTTGTTGGAATTCAAACCATAGAAGAATTATGAAATGTCTAAGTAATTGAATAATTGAGCAATTGTAATGAAATTGGAATGGTGGGTATCTGATATTAGAAATTACTCATTTCACTGCATCCATCTGCTAGATGTGTGTTATTTTCCCTTCCTATGCCTTGTGGAGGAACCAAAAATTCTGTCATCTCAGTGTATTTAAAGTATGAAAAATAACTTACATTTATTATGCTTACTCTGCATTTTCTCCTATTATAAAATGAAGCATAATACAGATGTACATATTAGTAATTCCCCCTTATTTGAACATCTTACAATTTCATAGTTTTATGTTGGTAAATATAGGTAAGTTAGAAGTAAACACAGTGAAAACTAAGTGNTTGCCTGTGGTTCTGTATGTATGTGAAACTTGGTCTCTGACATTAAGGGAGGAACATAGACTGAGGGTGTTTGAGAACAGGGTGTTGAGGAGAATATTTGGACCAAAGAGAGATGAAGTGACAGGAGGTTGGAGAAAACTGCATAATGAGGAGCTTCATAACTTGTACTCTTCTCCAAGTATAATTAGAATGATCAAGTCAAGGAGGATGAGATGGGCAGGTCATGTAGCACGAATGTGGGAGACGAGGAATGGGTATAGAATATTGGTGGGAAAGCCAGAAGGAAAGAGACCACAGGGAAGACCAAGGCATAGGTCGGTGGACAATATTAGAATGGATCTTAGAGAGATAGGATGGGACGGTATGGATTGGATAGATCTGGCTCAGGATAGGGACCAGTGGAGGGCTCTTGTGAACACAGTAATGAACCTTCGTGTTCCATAAAATGCTGGGAAATTCTTGAGTGGCTGCAGAATTGGCAGCTCCTCCAGAAGGGCTCAGCTCCATGAGTAAGTAAGTAAGTAAGTAAGTAAGTATAGGTAAGCGGGTGCACTTCATTTCATTACTCGGTAGTTTCCTCTCAAGGGATGCAGGAACTGACTCCAAATAATTGTGTATCAGTATTACTTTGAATCATGACTGACATGTGCAAGAGGAGACAATGTGTATGACATTTCTCGTTTCCATTAGGTGTTGTGAGAAGACAATGTCTGTCCTGAGACAAAACCAGGAAACCATTTTGACTATTTTGGAAGTTCTTCTGTATGATCCTTTATATGCTTGGACAATATCCCCAAGCAAGGCTTACAATATCCAAGAGCGGACCCACAAAACAGACCTCGATTATACTGACCCTGAAGGTAAGAAATCATCAGAAACTTATGTAGTGGTTTTGCCTTTCATAAGTGAGTACTACAACTATCTTATATATTCTGAAAATAACTTATGTGCATTTGATTGTTAACCATATGGATACCAAAACTGCTGTCACTTTTCTTTGTCTTGTAATTTATTAACTGACTACAGATATTTAATACAGTGCACCCCCTGTGGTATGGACATCTGTGTTCCAGAATTTTGCTTGTATAGAAATTATAAAAGATGACCATAAAATTCATGATACCATAATTCACTCTTACAGAAATTTGAGATGAATGTTATGGTTCTTTAAACAGAAAATGCAAAACAACAATCAGCTAGAGCTGATTTTTTTAAGAAATGATCATTTGTTAGAAAATATCAGGGTCTTACGTGAATGTGTCAGTAACATTGCTATGTAAGTGGCTACTGGCTAATAGGTTCATGCATCAGTGATGTAAGGGGATGGCTGATGGTACCACTACTTGCTTACATTGCGCTCAAAATTTAAATATTTAAAAGTCTTTTGGGTATTACTATATGCAAGTATTATATCTGATGGTTAATTTTTTAATACAACCGCAGACTTGAAAAATTTCCATGGGAACACATTTCTACTTATAACATGGAACTCAACACAAAATATGGTTCGCAATGCAGAATTTCATGATATGGGCATATTTTTAAGAACACAGCCCTTCTGCAACATGAAAGGCCGGTGTATCACTATTATCGCCCTTTCTATCTCATATGAACAGTTATTATACATACATATACTGTATCTACTGTATTAAGTATGTGTGGGAATGACTTCAGTTTGAGATGAGAATTTGAAAAGAAATGTCAAGAATCAAGATGAGTGATTTTCTTTATTTGACCAATTTTTTCCACTGTAATCACATTTTATAAAGAGCTGGCATAGTTTATTCATAGCTATGGGCTGGACAGCTGGGGTTTGATTCCCAGCAGGGGCAAGATATTCTTCTCTTCTCCACATCATCCAGACCAGTGCTGGGGCCCATCCAGCCTCCTATCCAATGGGCACCAGGGGCTCTTTCCCTGCGGGTAAAGTGGCTGGGGCATGATGCTGACCGCTTACCTCTACCTAGCGCCAAGGTCAATAATGATGGAGCTGTTTGTCCACTCCATACATCTCCTTGGTGTAATGCTTAATTAATTAAGCACAGGGACAGTACCTTAACTTTTATCTCAGTTTATGACATTAGCTATTTTTTCACACTGCACTAAAGTGCATTACTTTTCTTTGATAGCAGATGTTGATGCCACATACAACAATGGAGAAAGATGTATTGTGGGTGGAAAGAAGGGTGGGGAGAGATTTTGTTGACATGTCAATTCATGTCAACATTACCAGTAACTATGATTCTGATTGATTGGGCAGTCTGCATGCTGCTGTGCAACACCAGACTGAAAAATCAGTGCCTGAATCAAGACTAGATATTTATTCCTTGATTTGATCTAAAACATTAGAGATTTAACCCATGCCCGATGTCTCTCAGAGATACAAGACACTTCTTCAAGCCTGACTAATCCCATGATGGGTAATTTACATGCACTGTTTGACCAGTTGATCTCATTTCATTCATATTATTGCTGTGGTTGTTAATTAGTCATTCCATTATGCTCTTGATTCTTCCTACTATTGACAGATTAAACCACATTTATATTCAGAGTACATGTTGGATATATCAAATATAGTTCTTAATAAAACATCTGACTGTATACAGAAAGTAATTTCTGAAATATACAAGCAGAAACTTGGATTTATAAGGGTTTGGTACATGCAACTTTAATTCTTTGTTTCCTTCCCTTTATGGTGACACAGTACTGAGTAATTCAGCATTGAAGGAAATACTACTATTCCAGTTTTGACGTGAAGATGTTTTTTAGTGTGAAAACATTCTTGATCCTATTTGATTTTGTTATAAATACCTGAATATGTGTGTTTGATTCTATTAAATTTTATTTTAGCTTCTTATCTTTAACTTGGAGGAACCTTGTGCTTTTGTTTTAAATTACCACAAGGAGGTATTCAGACTGTTTCAAGCATATACGTGTATATTCATACTAAGCCTCATAGAGAATGATTACAAATGGTTATTTTCATGTAGCCACTGCAGGTGAAGTGAATAGAATGGCAGAGCGAGCGTTAGTAAGGTTACGACAGAAACTGCAGGGAACAGAAGAGGGGACAGCAACCAGTGTTAGCGGACAAGTAACTCGATTACTACAACAAGCTCGAGACCCAGGGAATTTGAGTCGCCTGTATCATGGCTGGCATCCATACGTTTGAGTGTATGTGATTCTGAGATTTTTAGTGCATTGCATTATTAATGTAACATATAACATGATATGATTCCATCTTGGATCCAGAAATTTGTCTAGGACAGTGATAATAACAAAAGGAAGGTGAGGTCTTGGTGATTGCCTCACCATTTCTTTGTTATTTTGTGTACTGTGATTGTCTAAGCTGAAAATATCAGCAAGATATTTGATCATCTCTTAGCTTTTTGATAGGTACACTGAAGCTGACTGTGTCCCTACATGCTGTGTTTGTCAATTGGTGAGATCCATCCCACTAGTGGGACTCAAACATTGGCAGGGTGGGACGTAAGGTTTCACAAATTAAGACATTCCATTATGAGGCTTGTGCAAATGAAACTGATTTGGAGATTACTGTGGGTGAAGAAGTGAGATCATTAAAAGTAGTCCCAATGGGCACTGAGAAAGTAATCCCACTGATACACCAGCTGATGGATCCCATCTGCAAAGAACTCAGGCCTGCTGCTGGAACCACTGTGTCATGGGCTTGATATCATCATCTGGCCTGAATCTACTACCCTTTAGTGCTTTTTTCAGGAGTAGAACACATACAAATCATGTGGTGACAGGTCTGAGCTGTATGAGGATGGTCCAGCACATGGAGCACAGTGTGTTTTGGACAGTGGAGGCCATATGGGGATGGGTACTGTTGGGCAACATGGTCCCTTGAGAACATTCTGGGACACTTCATCTCAGTGATTCCACAGAAGTCTTGGAGGGTTCCACAGTAGTGCTGTGTTGATAGTGATGGTTGTGTCATGGTCCTTGAATGTCAACATTAACTTGGTGCTTCCATTTGGGCAGGTTATGCACCTTGAATGTTGGAATTTTAACCCTTTGACTGTGAAGCCTTACCACAGAACTACCTAGAAGCACCAAGGCTACTTGGGCACAAGTGCAGCTGCACAGAAAAACTGACAGTACTTCCTCAGATTATGTTCAAGTAAGCATTGTTGCAGGTACCATAGAAGCCTGTTGTTTCCTTGAAACATTGATATATCATGCTTAATGCCAACTATTGAGAGAAGTGCTGTACTGTGTAATTAATATAGATGAAATATGTGTGGTAGTTCTAATGCTGGTACACCAAGCTGATTTGTCTTGTGACTTACAAAGGGTTAACTGTATCACACTGTTTCCATTTGTTCTAACAAGCCTATTCTGTTGCACAGCATATGGTAAACTGCTAGTATGTCATGCACACAAATCATATGAACATCTGCAGCTGGATGTGTTCTCCAGCAGCACCATGAACAGATTTCATGTGAACAACTCTCACACTATGATGTATATAATTTTAAAAATTCACTTCTTGGAAAAAGATCAGCTTTATGACAAAACTATTGGCAGGATGCAAGATCCAAAACATTGAGAACTGTAGCCTACATGAATGGTCAAAATCAACCAATTTGCATGGCTGCCTCTTTGTTTGAGGATAGTATGTTTTTCTTCTTTTAATGTTTCTTGTTACATATGACATGTTATCCTCCAGCATACAATTAGAAACAAATGTAAAGATAATGGATCCTAGTGTCAACATACTTAAAATGTGATGAATAAAAAGTATATTGGGCTGGGCCCAGCATTGCACTTAATTTCACAACAATCATTTCTATTAATGTTCATGGGGGACTACAGACAGACACTTGCATTTCTTTCTTTTATCGAAACAAAGAGAGGCTAGCAATTTGTGAGTGGCTAGCTGTTTCATGCAGCTTAAGGTTATATAGCAGGAAAACCCTTGGGGATTCAGCATGGTCAACAAAGGGGCACAAAGATTGTTCCTTGTTTCTGTCTCAGGTGGGTAGCAAAATGTATTACAGGTTTGGAGAGAAAATGTATATTCATTCATTAGTTACTTGATAATATTGTATTAACTGCAGATGTTATATAGTGTCATGAAATGAGAAGATTTTCAAATACTGTGAACTGGAAATGATAAATGATAGAGGAGGAAGAAGTCATATGGCCATTTCAACATATTAGCTGACATTCATTTGGCAAATGTTTCAGTGGTGGTCATTACCTTCCTGGCCCTTATCACTGGAAAGTGACAGACTCTGCCTGTATTTTGGAAAAACTCGGACACATTATGCTAACCACAACTGTGTGCGTCTAGCACATGAAACCTACAGGTTGTATGTTGTGCACCATAGTGGAGGCCTGGTGATCTTCACATATGATAAGAGTAAAAAGATTTAGGCCAAACTCTGATTTGGAGTAAACATTATTTCCACAGTTAATCCAGACTGGTGTTAAATTGGGTATCTTCTGAATATGGAGAGGGAAGAAAACTACTGCTAAGATTAAATCAAGAATGTGTGAGACTGGAGGTTCTCATGGCAGTCATTGAATATTGCTGTCTTCTGGAATGTGAATGTGATAAGAAATATTTTAGAGGGACATGCTGTCTCCAGCTTTAGGGTAGAAGAACAAACTGATCATAGAAAGAAGTGGTCTGGCTATAGAAGAGGAGCAGGACGATGGCTGTGGGCAAACCAATAGGAAATGGGGCACTAAAAGTGGCTGTACTACATAAAGCAGATGCAGGGGAAAAAATGTTGTTAGGAAGAATGAAGGTGGGAAAGAGTGAATATAAAAAATTTAAAAAGTGAGAAGAGGTGCTGTACAGAGTAGTAGTGCATAAAAAGTAAGGAGCCAGTGGCCCTGAAGGGGGCTGTCAAAATGGGAAAAGAGGCAGTGTCTAAAGAACAGATGTGAATGGGAATTTAATTAAGAGTAATTCAAGGCAGATATTGTGGGGTTACCTGACCAACTAAATGGAGCAGAATTGTAACATATTCAGCTAGTCAAGAAATTCTCAGGAGTTTAAGGAACCCAAAGGTTAATTTCCATATTCATGAAAGCCTACTGAAATCCAGGTCACACTTTCCCATTCAATTTCTTTAACCCTACTGCTGTAATAATTGACTGAAATCGAAAAGGCATCCATATAGTGCAATATGGTCTACATCAAGAAATAATCATCTCCTTTCACTATGTCATTTGCCTTCATTCATTGGGCTATCTTTTCATATTTTTACCTTAAAATTGTATTATATTGGGAAAATGGTGAGAAAATAATATGCAGTGAAAGGGTTAAGATGAATTTTAATACTCTCTTCAAATCTAAGCTTAGGTTTTTGAAGTGGAGTCTTTCTTTAGGTTGTCCTACCAAAACTTTCTACATATTTCACATCTCTCACTTGTGTGCTACATGCTTCACCCTTCTTAGTCTTCTTGATTTTAACATTACAATAACATTTGGAGAGAATATAGTGTTACCGGTGCCCAAAATTGTGAGGAAGGAGTGAAGGATAACCAAGAACTTGGATGTTCAGTTGATTTTGTGGCAAATCTGATAAGGATGATACAGGCCATGAAGAATGGTAACTTGGGGAATATATATGAATTGCAGGGACATGCTACAGGGAGATTATCTGACAGACAGCCTGCTGCAAATTGTTTGACTAGTTCAGTGGGAGAAAGATTTTTCCCTGGTGCCTTCTCCTTCTGAACATATCCAGACCCGCAACACAACCAACAAATCACAGCAGATTTCTTCCTTTCATGCATGTACGCCTTCCACCTCTGTGAAATATACACATGTTTTAAGTTTCTTTTTGGAATCAGAGCAAACCTGAAACATTGAACCTTCAGCTCCTGAGAAGTATGTCTAAGGAATTTCCAAGCCCAGTACCAGTTTCATCCACTTCTCTTCAGTGAGTATCCAGTGTTCCTATTTGGTCTTTTTTTGTCCATGAGTCATTCTGCCATTGAATTTACAGTGGGTGGACAAAATAATGGGAACACAAAGAAAGTGAATACAATTTGAGTTGTCTACACTGAAAGAACTTCAGTTGGCAACATTCTGTAGTGCTTGTGTAAGTGTATGAATGAATGTGTTGAGCAACATCATTATTATTCCACTGTAAAATTCTGTCGATCCAATCTATGCTACAAATACGCCAGACTGATATAGAACCAGTCAGACAAGAAACTAAAATACACATGCTATGAAAATAAACATAGGTCAGATCAAACAATAAACCAAACTGTTTATCTTCCTACTTTAGCATTAAACATATCATAAATATAATATTGTAAAAAAATCATCATACCAAAAGGTAGATGATAACATATTTATGCCAAAATTAAGCATCTATGATACATAATACCTTAAAAATTCACATTAAAATTAGTAATTACTACAGACAAAGTCCGGAAACTTTGGTTCAAGGGATTCGAATATTTCGCCGTTAGACGTTCATGTTATGCATTTCATTCTGGACAACGTTTAAAATTATGGTTATAATTGACCGGCACACACCAAAGATAAGCTTGCGAAATAAATGTTACCACGGATTACTATGTACCCCCAACACCAGCAAACAGTCGAATACCAACTTCATCGTGTAGTGTATTTTCTTTTTTACTGTTGGCTGTAATGTAATAAAAACCTGCTGGGTGATGGCCGGTAGTGGTGGTTAGCAGGTTAGCAGCGTTCACAGTTCACAGCGGCTGGTAGTGCGTTTAGGTGTTGTGTGAGAAATTAGGTGTAAGGCTTTGGGATTTTCCCGTATGTTTGTAAGTGGAGGGGACGTTTGTAGGTAAAATTTTAGGAAAAGAAAACGAAGAAGTGTAATTATGACTGAGGTATGTAAAATATTTAGATTCTCGTAATGATTGACGTAATTAAATATTTTAAATAATTACTAATTTTCATTTTTGACGTAGGACATGAAGAAGTATCTGCAGCAGTTGTTATCCAGGTAAGAAATAGAGTATATAATCTTGCATGATTTGTGGACAATACATAATATATTAAAGCAGATGTTTTAGTAGACATTTTTTAAAATATTGTGCTTTGTAATAGAGGTACAGTATGTTTTCTGAGAGGTCTGAACTGAATGTTTAAGTATCATTTAGATGAATTGAATGCTTCTTGCGAACCTGATCAAAGTTTTTATACTTGTGTTCTGTTCAAGGACATTCTGGGTTGGTACTGAAGTTCCACATGCCGCTTGCATCTCTCCCATGCAACTACAATGATAACTCTTTAAAGACTGAATTTATTTTAAATACAGGTGCTCCTTATACTTCGAAAAATTTTGATTTCGAAAAATGTTAATTAATTTGAATCCAATCAACTAATATGGACTGATTTCAGGTAACACTTGCTTTAATGAAAACTACTTCCTGGCCGTTGGGAAAGAACTGGAAGAAGTTTGCATAGATTATTGTGTGGGTTTGTGGAGGAGGAATGTGAAAGGAGAAGGGAAAATTGTTTGATTTATCTGAGTTTGTCCTCTGTGACCCTTTTTTTAGAACACAAGTCTCGCATAAACCAAGAAATACCTGTAATATATAAACATACAGTTCATACCCCACAGCATACACTTTACTTTTTCATTACAAAGATGAACCACCTTTTAAGGGAAACAGTTGCTGTTTATTTTCAAAGTCATGTGAAACACACACACACACACACACACATACACTCTGTGGGAAGAATGCAGTTTAATGCCTTAAAGCTGGTGGTGCATGCAAACCGCAACACTGGACATTAAAGGGTAATTAGAACTCTGCCTTAATGTAGTTAAGGTACTACTCAACTTCTTTGCTCTATTTCATAATCTTGAAGTTTAGGGTTATTTAAGCTTTTAGACCAACTAGTTCCTGGGATGATGCCATGACTTACTTTTTGGACATCATCCATTGTTCTGTTTTTTTTTTAACAATGTTTTGGAGACTGGCTTCTGTCTCTGCCCTCAGATAAAAAGCATGCTCATTTGGGCCCACTCAGTGGAGCTAGTTCCTCTTTCTAGATATGGAGACTAACTCTGTCAATTGGATCCCTTTTACCTGAGGCAGAAATCAAATTCCAAATTATTTTAAATGAAAATAGAGTGATGGATAATATCAAAAAAGCCAGTTATTGCATTAATATACCATAACGATGAACTTTTAGATCTTATTTAGCTGATTGATAAAGAATTACATTGTTTTTTTTATTGCTTTTAGAGTAGATGGTCTTCACTGCATCTTAATAACAGACAGGGATGGTGTTCCAGTTTTGAAAGGTGGGTGAAATGTTAGTTATTTCATTTCATTTTTTTTCATTTCATTTATTTACATGTCAAAAATCCTTTACAAGGTCGTAAGACTCAGGATATAGACAATAGTCCAATATAACAATTAAATATAATAATTACAAAAAATATAATACATGTTAAAATATTTATGCAAACACAATTTTAAAATTATAAAACTTGTAATTTAACTTTTCACCAATTAAGTATTTAATCCCAATAAAATCAATTATCAATCTTCTTAACCGTGTAATCAAAAATTTCATCAATACCATAAAATGAATGTAAATGGAGAAATTGTAATAGTTCTTTCTTGAATCGATTTTTGTTTTTGGATAACTGTTTTATTTTGCGTGGAAGACTATTATAAATTTTGATTCCAAAATACTGTGGACCTTTCTGAAATGCTGTTAGATTTGATGAGGGGAGATGCAAATTTGAACTATTTCTTGTTGCAGTTGTATATATATCTGAATTTTCTACAAATAAATCCATATTATTAACTACAAACATCATCAAAGAATATATATATTGAGAAGGCAGTGGTAATATTTTCAATTGTCTAAAGATTTTTTTACATGAATCTCTGTTTCCAGCTCCCACCATTATTCGAACAGCTCTCTTCTGCAATTTAAAAACGCACATACTGAGAGTTCTATTTCCCCAAAAAATCAAACCGTAAGACATCACTGAGTGGAAAAAGGCGTAATACACCATTTTAAGGGCATCAATATTTAAATACTGTTTGGTTTTCCTAATTATATAACAGGCTTTATTTAATTTACCTATAATTGAATCTATATGCCCTTTCCAAGATATTGTGTTATCCAGTGTCATACCCAAGAATTTTACCTCATTTGACTCTAATAGAATTTTGTTTCCATATTCAATATTTAATTTTTTGGTAAAATTATGTTTAGCTGAGAAATTTACACAGCAAGTCTTGCCTAAATTTAATGAAAGCATATTTGAATTAAACCATTCATTCATCGATCTAAACACTGTAGTAAGTTTTTTTTCCAGCTGCATAAAATTTAATTCATTTACTATTACACTTGTATCATCGGCAAAGAGCACAACTGATGTATGTGATGGGACAGAACACTGTATAAAGGAGGGTAAGTCATTTACATAAATCAAAAACAATAGCGGACCCAAAATCGATCCTTGAGGAACTCCTTTATCAATTTTTCCCCAATTAGATAACTTATTGTTAAATTTTACTCTTTGGTATCTATTTTCTAAATATGACTCAATTAGAGAATACATCACACCGCTTACACCATAATATTTCATTTTAACCAATAATATACCATGGTCCACACAATCAAAAGCCTTCTCCAAGTCAAAAAATATACCACCACTTTTCCTTTTATTATTTAAGGCCATCAGTATATCATTTGTTAATTTGTAGGTTGCATTTATAGTTGATGTGTTCTTCCTAAATCCAAACTGACAATTTGAAAGGATATTATTTGTAATAAGGTGAGCCATTATTCTCTTATATATAACTTTTTCGAAAATCTTAGAGAAAGATGGTAATAGAGAAATTGGTCTAAAATTTGATACATTATTTTTATCACCTTTCTTGTATATAGGGGTAACAATCGAATATTTCAGTCTACTTGGAAAAACACCTGTAGATAATGACTTATTTATAATACAACATAATGGAGAGCTAATAAAGGGTGCACTAATTTTCAATAATTTTATGGATATTTCATCGTAACCACAACTGTTTTTCCAGGGAAGATTTTTTATAATTTCTTCAATTTCGCCTGTAGAAGTATTGTGAAATATTATGTTATCATACTGAAAATTTAGAATCTGCGATAAGTTGAATGGAGAGTAAGTAGTGCTATTAGTATTTAAACTATTATTACTCTTAATTTTACCAGAGATGCTTTCAGCAATTTTTAAAAAGTGATCGTTGAAATTCTCAGCATTAATTTTTATGGAAGCTTCTTCACAATTTGTGTCTATATCTCGTTTATCAGTTTTATTGTTATTTACTCCCATATCACTTTTTATAACATTCCATGTTGCTTTAATCTTATTGTGAGCATACATAATTTTATCATTGTAGTTCAACTTTTTGGCAGCTTTTATTATTTTTGATAAGATCTTACTATACCTTAAATAGTAATTTCTCAGATTCTCATCATTATTAGACCTCATTAACAAGTATAGCTCCTTTTTCCTTTTGCAAGAATTTATTATGCCTTTTGTTATCCACTGATTAGTTGACTTTCTTTCATAGACTTTTATTTTAGGGAAACATGAAAAAAAATCTGCAGGTATGTATTCAAAAAAGAATTAAAAATATCATTCACATCTTTGTTGGTGTTATCAAATATGGTTTGCCATTGCTCCTCACTCAGCTTATCTTTAAATTATGTACACTGAAGATCGTTCTTGGATAATTTATTGAAGTGAGGCATCTTATTGAGTAGCTTGTAGAATTGAAGCATGCCTCTGCGTCAACAGCATGTCAGTACGAGGGTATTGCTTTCTGGTGTGATGTGCCAGCTTATACTTCATGTTATGATTAGTAACTGAGTAAGATATGAACTGAGTGAAGGGATGTTGAAGGATGTTATGTGTTTAAAATATTTTCTTTTTGTTGAGTCTGATAATTGAATAATGGAATGTAAGTGTATAAATAGGTGTATCTGGTCACCACATTTTAAGTTTTTTTTTTTCTGTAAGAAGAAATACATAGGTCATTTCAGAAATAATGCACACAGTTTTTTGTTTACGTCCATGTTTATTTGTTTTAATATCTCTTTACAGTCCTTCTACATAGCCCCCCTGCTTCTCAGTGACGAGTCCCAACATGTGGGAAGCTTTACTATTCCATCCAGGACACCATCTTTGTTTATCTGTCGAATGGCTCAGGTAACTGCAGCAGAAAGCTCTTCCAGAGAGGGAAAACAACAGCCTTACGTAGGTTGTTTCAACTTTGGGAATAAGTCAAAGTCTGGTGGACTCATGTCTGGGCTGTAGGGAGCATGAGGCAACACCTCCCAACCCTATTGGCGCAGCGTTTCTGTTATGACACTCCCAATGTGCGGGCAAGCGTTGTCATGGAGAATGATCGGCCCAGCCCCAAGCAACTAAGGTCGGTTTTTGTGCATTTTTCTGCGCAGATTTTGCATAAAGTCACAATAATAAACTGCTGTGACACTTTTCCCGCATGGGACTCTGTCTGTCACGATGATTCCTTGGTGATCATAAGTAAAGATCATCATTTGTTTGACCTTTGATTGAGATCGTCAAAATTTTTTCGTCGTGGGGAAGATGGACCTCTCCACTCGTTGGACTGTGATTTCAGCTCTGGTTCAAAGCCTCTAACCCACGTTTCATCAATAGCAGCAAGTCAATACAAGAATGCTTGACCTTCAATGTCGAATCTTTGTTTCAGCAAGGTTGCAATGTTGAGGCGTTTCTGCTTCTGTTCAGCAGTCAAGCAGTGAGGGACCCATCGCACAGAAATCTTTCACTTTAAATCATTTGTCAGAATTCGGAATATTGACGTTGATGGAATCCCCGTGGTTTCAGAAAGTTCCTCACATGTTGCACGACGATCTTCTTCAAGAGCATCTGACACAAGTTTCACACTTCGTTCATCTGTTGATGTTTTTGGCCTTCCTAGCCTTGGATCATCGTTTATGCTCACATGACTGCCATGAAAATGACTAGCCCCGCAAGAAACTATACTACGGTCCACTGTTAACTTGCCACAAACTTCACTTAAAGCACTGTGGATTTCTGTCGGGTTTTTTCCACGTGAAGTTTCAATCTTAATGTACATCCTTTGATCTTCAACAGTCACAATACCCGAGAACTGTGCAGGCTCCATTTCTAACTCATGTTATTTAAGAACAGAGTATATTATAAATGAAACAAAATAATGCGCTTCTTTCTCAAGCCCTGAACTGTAACTGACGTGAGGCTCACTGTTGTTGCGTCATCTAATCCACAGTGTTGCCAAGCCGTGCATTATTTATGAAATGACCCACGTATTAAAGTGATTTATAAAGACGGGGGCAGTGGTTATTATCTTAAAAATAAGGTTAACAAGTCAGAAACTTAGTTTAAGACGTTAAAAAATTAGAGTAACTGGATTAAAGAAATATTTGTTACACATATAATTCAGTGTGTGTTCATCCCATATGATAGAGGTCTCCCAAAAATAAAGCTTAAATCTAACAGACTTATCCTCCATTTATTCCCACTGCCACAGATACTTATGATAGCATTAGTTTGGGTTAGATTGCTTTAAGATAGATTATAATAGCACATCACAGCACACATTTTATTATTCAGAATGTGAAGTATTTAAACATCTGACAAATTAAATTCCTTTGTTTTGTATGAAATACTTGAGCTTAACAGAAAATTCTGACATTCTGTAAGCTTGAACAATTTCTCATATTTTCAAAGAAGGGGGGTGGGGATTCCAAGATACGTCACTACTACATGGCTCACAAATGTGACTTGAAGTCGATCAGATCATTTGCCAACATTTGGAAGTCTGCATCTCCTCTGCATTTGGTGCATTGATGCTGTACAGAGAGACGGATACAGAACATTAATGGTAAGATGCAGACCACCAAGATTGAGACACAGAAGTAAACTTTGGTATGCATTTTGAGCTCATTTCTAGTTTATAGTTTCAACTTGACAATACATACAGTTCGAAGATAACCACTGAATTCATCCTGCAAGGTAATCATGCCGAAAAAATAATTAAGGATAGATGTTTTGGAATCAGTTCAGAAAAAACTAACTTCACTTTTTTGGTCAGAAGCCATTATCCATTTCTCTTATTGATGGTTGTATTCAGTTGCCAGTGACAAGGTTCCAGAGCTTGCAACGAGACCGAGTTTCCTTTCGACTTTTGGAATGGCAACAGATCAGGGTGGCAAGCTGGGACTAGGGAAGAACAAGACCTTGATCTGCATGTATTCATCATACCAGGTACAACCCACTGTAGCTTCTGAGTATGCAGTCTCACTGCAGGTTTCACATGTGTCATGTATCCAGCAATTTATTTAATGGAAGGCTGCGCCATAGCTCAAGCGGTTTGTCGCTGGCTTCCCATCGCGGCGGCCCGGGTCTGGTCAAGTGGGATTTGTGGTGGACAAAGTGGTGCTGGGGCAGGTTTTCTCCAAGTACTTCGGTTTCCCCTGCCAGTCTTCATTCCACCAGTTGCTCCACAATCACCATCACCTATTATCTGGGGCTGGTACAATAGGCCAGAAGTGGCTGCAGTACAAGGGACTTAGTCCCACTCCACTAGCAATAACAAAAAATTATTTAATGTATATTAAGTGAATCTGCATAATTCTATGTGTATTGAAGAGAAGTTCAGAAAGTCTTTATGCAATAACTCAACTTTAAATGTACTTCCATATGTTTGTTTTAAATGTTGTGCTTTCATGATTAGTCTGTTTTGCTTTATAAGAAAACTAAGTTTATGGTATTACCACATCTGTATTACCTTAGTATCTTTTCAACCACAGAGGTGATACACTCCGTTTGCTGTGGGAACAAGGTAATGTAACTGTTTAGAGTCTATTTTCGAACTACTTCTGGTATTCATATCCCGGTTGGAAAGTCATGCATGATTAATAGAACTCTTCTTCCATAAGTTGCCCAGAACCTTTTGTCTTCTCGTATGTTGTCCAAAAACATAAAAGTTAGAATATACAAAACTATAATTTTGTCTGTGGTTCTGTATGGGTGTGAAACTTGGTGTCTGACATTCAGGGAGGAGCATAGACTGAAGGTTTTTGAGAAGAGGGTGTTGAGAATATTTGGATCGAAGAGGGGTGAAGTGACAGGAGGTTGGAGAAAACTGCATAATGAGGAGCTTCATAACTTGTACTCTTCTCCAAGTATAATTAGAATGATCAAGTCAAGGAGAATGAGGTGGGCAGGGCATGTAGCACAAATGGGGAAGAAGAGGAATGCATATAGGATATTGGTGGGAAAGCCAAAAGGAAAGAGACCACTGGGAAGACGAAGACTTGTTCTATATCCAAAGGTATTAACCTGCTTAGGGTTTATGGAATGGAAATAAATTCAATTCAATTCAGTAGGTGGGTGGACAATATTAGAATGGATCTTAGAGAGATGGGATGGTATGGATTGGGTTGATCTGGCTCAGGATAGGGACCAGTGGAGGGCTCTTGTGAACACGGTAATGAACCTTCAGGTTCTGTAAAATTCTGGGAAATTCTTGAGTAGCTGCACAATTGGTGGCTCCTCAAGAAGGGCTCAGCTCCATAAGTAAGTAAGTTTCTTCAATAAGTTTGCCTACACAATGAATAACATACCCAGGTTAGCAGAGCAGATGGACTCCACTAGTGTCATTGTGTGATAATAAATCTTTAGAAGGTACGCAACTTTTGTTAGTCTTCCCAATAACTTTCACCTAATTGATGGATTTTCATAGGCTGTATATGATGTTATGTCATTAAAGATTCCTCACCTTTGTACATTTTAATTTCCAGCATCAGTAATAATCAACATGGTTGGCATTGTGAGTGACAGTAGCATCAGTGTCATGCAGAATCGTGCAGTGTTGTGTTGTCGTAAATTAAAAGACATGCATATGGAATTTTTATAAAATACAACATGTTGTCCATGTGAAATATACATGAAATATGTTTAATAAACTTTTTGATGGCAATAAGTAATGAACCATGCAACTAGAAGTTTGAAGTCCATGGTTTATGCTAACCGTCTTACAGTGTATACACTTTTTCACCTTATTCTTCACTTCCACATTACATGTTTCAGCACTAATGTGCCATTCTCAGGTGTCTTTATGCACGTTAAACTATTGTACTGCATGCCATGTCGTCTTCATTCTAAAATGACAAATCTGTATTCGTCATATATCTCAATGAATTCTAAATAATAAAACTTTTCAGGATTCATCCTACGTTGCACTCAAACACGCTAATTACGCCAGTCCTCTTTTATGTGAGCATTCTTCCTACATACATTTGTGTATCGTGTTCTGTGTTGTGTTTCGCTCCTGTTACTGCATCGAGCAATAAAATTCGTTTAGTGAGGGTTGGAGTCCAACTGGGTCCACTCAGCACGGCTGCCACTGATTGGCCTATTGTAGCCTGCCCCGGGTGATTATGGTGATGGAGAATTTGGTGGAATGAAGACTTGCAGGGGAAACCGAAGTACTCAGAGAAAACTCACCCCAGCGCCACTTTATCCACCACAAATCCCACTTGACCAGACCCAGGATCGAACCTGGGCCCCTGCAGTGGGAAGCCAGCGACTAACCACTTGAGCTATGGCACGGCCTGACATTATGTAGTAAGTTTCATAATTATTTGTTTATAATTCCTGCTCGCTTCTCTTAATAGACTGAAGCATTTAAAGAAAAGTTTGCATCATGTATACAGTCAACTCTCGATTATCCGGGCTAATGGTGGGGATGGAAGTCACGGTTAATCGAAAACCCGGTTAAGCCAAATTTTATTATACGGGCTGGACGACTGTGAAGGGTCGGAGTTCGAGTCCCGGTAGGGTCAAGAATTTTAACTTCTCCAAATCGTCCAGACCGGCTCTGGGGTCCATCCAACCTCCTATCCAATGGGTACCGGGGGCTCTTTCCCCGGGGGTAAAGCGGCCGGGGCGTGAAGCTGACCACTCACCTCCAACTAGTGCCGAGGTCAAGAAAATTTGGATCTATACATCCACTCCCCCACACGCCTTAATGGCGTAGGGCTTAATTCGTTGAGCAGAGGAACAACTTTACCTTTTACCTTTTAATACCTTCATAATACTATAGACCTACCTGTATTTAAATTTATTCATCCTCATTTCTATGTCATCTCATGGCCTATTTAATACTTTCTTTACATTACACTCAGTATGAATTAGTTATTTCAATCACTGTTCAACAACATCCAGCACTTTTTACGGTCACACTTAACACTTAAAATAATTTAATACTGTCTTTTGCTTTTTCGCGGCATTTTCCTTTTTACGGATATCCGTACGAAGCCTACGTAATATTAGCTTGTCACTTAATAAACTGTCCTCTTCACTCTCAAGATAGTCTAGTAAGGATTCCAAATGATTAAGCGCAGCACCATGTGATACTTTCTTACTGGCAACACTGTCCACCTCTTCCTCATTCTCACTTTCTTCCCGCTCTTCTGGCTGCACCCCCATTGAAGTTACGATTTCGTCACTGCTTAACATTTCGAAGCCCGGTTCACACGAGTCACAGTTAAACCACTCTCTTATATTTTCCTCGTTGACTTCTTCACCACCATGAACTTGGTTAGCCACTTTTGTCAATTTTATGGCTATCTCATTTTCACTGAATCCAGTGAATCCATGGATTTCGTCATCTTCATTAGTGATGAAAGGCATCAGTTTCTTCCATGAATTTTTCAATACAGATGGCTTTACTGTATCCCACGCTGTTGAAATCTCGTATATGGCATCTAATACTGAAAAGGACTTCCAGAAACACGTCAGATCATTGCCTTCATCGATGTACTTTTGTAGCAAATTTGATCTGTAGATTCTCTTCATACTTGAGATAACTCCTTGATCCATTGGTTGGATAAGTGCGGTAACATTAGCGGGAAAATATTTCACAAAAATATTTCCATCATCTGACCTCAGGAGACTTTCGTTAGGATGTGAGGGCGCATTGTCAATGAGGAGCACAGCTTTCTCAGGTAGGCCTTGGGATTTTAGATGGTCACGAACTTGAGGCACGAATTTAAAATCAAACCATTCTTTAAATATCGCTCTATTCATCCAAGCTACTTTCTGGTTAAAATAATGGATAGGCAGACTTGAAGCTACTGTTCCTTTAAAAGAGCGTGGTCTTTTCGCTTTGCCGATAACTACTGGTATTAGTTTGTGTGTTCCTGATGCATTAGAACAGCACAAGACTGTCAATCTCTCCTTACTGGATTTGTGACCTGGAGCCTGTCTTTCATTTTGAAATGCCAATGTTCTGGTTGGCAAGCATTTCCAATAAAGACCCGTTTCATCGGCATTATAGATTTGTTCTGGCAGCAGATTTTCACTTTTCACAAAACTATCAAAATTGGTGCAAAATTGATCTGATGCTGACAAGTCCCCTGACAATTTCTCACCTTGAATACTGATTTCTCGTATTCCATGACGCTGCTTGAAACGTGTTAGCCAACCGGAAGAAGCGTCAAAACTCCCTTCTAGTTCAAGTGCTTCGAAAAAATATTTAGCTTGTTTAGCACAAACTGGTCCTGTTATTGTTGTTCCCTGTGCCCTTAGTTGATTAAACCAGGTCAGCATCGCTTTGTCGAGATCATCGTATGTTGATTTCTTCATGGTTTTTCTCTTCTTCATTCCGCTTGAATTAGAAGACGAAGCAAAGGAAATTAACTCATTCTTTTGTTTTTTCAAATCACGAACAGTTTGTTCTCCAATACCGTATTGCATTGCTAATTGTTTAACTACAGCTCCTTTTTCCAGCTGATTGATAATTTCAAGTTTCTGTTGAATACTTAACACAACACGCTTCCTTTTAAACCCCGACATTTTGCTAACGCACTTGAAGATCTATATTAAGAAACTGATACTTACTTTCACAATGCACTCTCACACTGAGATGGTACCGTTAAATAACCTGGGGCGGTGTATTTGTCCTTGAAACTTTCCAAAAATTCTTGCATTCTTTCACCCCCACCCTAGAACATTGTGTTCGCATAACGGGACGAAATAATGCAGAGCTCGGTTCACACTAGTGCGAAAATAGTGTTAAACTCACCATGTGAAACAAAAGTGAATGAATATTAAACAACATATAAACTTAAAAAAAAAAGCCCCGGTTAAGCCGCAAACCGGTTAATCCGCCCCCGGATAATCGAGAGTTGACTGTAGTTCCCAAAACCATCCCACTTCTCCATGCAAGTACACATTTTTTTTGTTACCTCCTTGAGTATCACTGGAAAATGATAAATATACAAGGGTTGGAACTTTAATAGTGGCAACACTGCTATAGAGACGCCATGCAACTGAACAAAATAATGTCGCTTATACCACACGTTAGTTACATACCTACCTTACCTCAGAGCAAATGGACTCTCCCTTCCCACATCAGGTGCATGCGCAGTGACAAGGAGAAGAAGAGAGCCTCATGTTAGCTGGCGGTCTAATGTAGTGTTGTCACGATGTTTTCGAAACAGGAACAACGGAGTTGGATAAAGATTGAATGTGCCAGAGGCCATACAGCATGACTGTCATCAAGGTCTTCAAGAGGCTTGCGGGGAATCTGCATTGCCTTACAGAACAGTGGCAAGGTTGGTAAAAGCCTTCAACGAGGGACGCCAAAATGCGGCAGACATGCGTCTGCCAGGTCGTCCTAGTGTCAGTGAAGAAGGAGTGTATGCTCTTTTTGCGTTACTGGAGACAGATCGATGCCATAAGATTCGTGAGCTGGCCCAAGAGACAGGATTAGTGCATACGACTGTGCTTCACATTCTGAAGGAACGCCTGGGCATGAGAAAAATTGCATCACGATGGGTTCCACATGATTTGACGGAAATTCAGAAATGGCTACGATACGACGCTGCTCGTAACCACTTGGAGCACTATGAGCGCGAAGGAGAGCCTTTCTTATGCCATATCATTACGCTGGATGAGACGTGGGGCAAATCGTATGAGCCACAAATGAAACGCCAATCGAACAAATTGCGTCATTACAGGTCACCACGAAAATCAAAAATTCGTCAGAACCCCAGCAATGTGAAAGTTATGGTTAATCTCGTGTACGACTGTGATGGTGTTATCCTAATTCATACCGTTCCCTGACAGCAGACTGTCAATGTACAGTATTAGTTCATTTTTGGAACACAACCTGCGACCAGCTTTGAGAAAGAAGCGGTGACACTTTCTGCAGAACCTACCCATCATTTTGCAGGACAGTGCTTGGCTGCATGCAGTGCAAGCTCTGGATGATTTGTTCGATTGATGGGGCTGGGAAGTGCTGTACCATCCACCATACTCCCTGGACTTAAGCCCTTGTGACTTTGACTTGATTCCTAAGATGAAGGAACCACTTCATGTCATTGGCTTCAGAACTGTTCCAGAGATTCTTCAGGCAGTAAACCGCTCCATTTGAACTATCAACACAACAGGTGCTGCTAAAGGTATCCTACGACTTCCACATCGCTGGTAACAGCTTGTACACAATGCTGGTGACTACATTGAAGGACAGTAAAACTTTGAAACAGGCATCTATTTTATATCAGTTGTAAATAAATAGTTGCCACTATTAAAGTTCCAACCCTCATATAAACATATATTTTGTTTGTTACATGAATTTTGTGGACTAAGCACTGAAAATCGGTTTTAGCCTTTCATGATTTCATTTGTCTGTTGCAGCCCTGTTGTTAGCCACTAACCACTGATGGTCATCTTCCCATCCCATTCAGTGCTGTGCAATATCAGAAATCGAAACAGTGTCATTGAATAATGAGAACCATTTGATGTAGTACATTAAACAATACAGTATTTTAATGTTTCACCAGTGTTATACATGAGATTCATTTGAACTTTTTTTACTTTTGAATTTCAGCCATCCCACAGATTCAATGTAGATAAATTACAGTATGAAATCAGTTAATTGAGACCTCACAGAGATTTAAAAATTATTTGAATGTGAGATATGGGGATTTTTGTTCATCTTTTATTTCAGTAGATATGCTTGTTTACCAGATGCCACTGTTGAGTGGGTGGCAGGTTTTCATGGTTTTTCTCAGTCTCTCCAGGAAAATTCCTGGATAATATCTTAAATTAGACCATGGCTCTTTTCTTCCATATCCTTTCCAATTTGATATTTTTTAAATATCCTATCATTGGCTCTTATGTAGTATGAGCTGCTCATAGCATCGTTAAATAAACCATAAGTAAATAAACAAATTATGATTAGTTAGCTGTGAAAATCAGTGAGGAATACTTGTCTCATTGAGCAGTCCACTTGCATTAATGTGACCAGTTGGGTTCACAAAATGTATTTGTAATGCATAATTATATGTTGAAGTTTCTTCTTTCTGCAGGTTGTCCAGATCAACAAATTGCCTCTAGTAATCAGCTTCATTGGCAGTGTTTCTTGCAACACTGGTCAGATCTTGTTGCTGGAGCAACATATTGAACCTCTTCTTAGTGACCTTAGAATGGCTGTTGCAGAATCATAAACAAGAATTTGAATGGGAGCTAATCTTGCCATGTTGACTGATTCATCATCTGGGTATAATTAGTAGTTTACATGGTTGCTTGTCTTGAGACGGATTGAAGCAGAGGTTTATATCTCAAGGAAATGTACTACAAAAATTACTGCTAGGTATTATATTCGTTGAAGCTTTATATATATTTTGTTTGTAAAAATATCTTTATGCAGATGTGAATAAGATTAATACTGTCAAATGAAATAGAATGCAGTGACAGTTAGCCCAACTTTAAGATCTTTATAGTGAATTTCAAGTCAGAAATAGTCATAAACTTAAGGATATATTTTCTTGTGGTTGAGTATGTGATTTAGTTTGTATAGTAACCCCTATACGTTTTCATGGTGTTGTGCTTAATTGTGCCAGGACAGCTTTGCCTATTTAACTTTTGCATTGACATCTTTATTTACGTTAGATTTGAGGTTCTCACAGCAGTGACTGTAAAGTTTCAGTAACGAAACACGTTACAATATTATCCTCTGGGATGTAACATAGGCTGGCAGAAGTTCACCAATGTTTTGGAGGGATATACTTGCTCAATCTTCAGAGTCAAAGAGTTAGCCAGACAAGTAGCTGGGAATATTCTTTGTTTAATGTTGTATTTTAGTGTCCTGTTGCATTGATTTCCCTCCATGATATGTATACAGTTGCCGTCTTATAGTGCACTCAATTTCACCCGTTACTTCACGACATGTTTCGGCAACATGGTGCCATCATCAGGTGCCCTAATTACGCTAATCTATTTCATTGCTTGCCTTTATAAAATTATTTAAAAAGTGTGTATTTGTCAACTATAATAAATTTACACACACTAAAACTTGTTAAGATTATTCATCTTAACAAGTTTTAGTGTGTGTAAATTTATTATAGTTGACAAATACGCACTTTTTAAATACTTCTTTGTTTAACATTACATACTTCCTGACAGTAGCAAATTCTTTAGCAATTTTTTTCTTTTGTCAGTATAATTTGATTCATGTATGCTGTAAAATATATTATGACATTGCTTTTTGGAACAGCAATTATCTGATTTTCATTAGTCACTTAAGGTCTTGGTGTCGGCTTGTGTAGTCCACCACTGTTTCACCAGTGCACTGTTCTGTCCTTCCATCTTGTCTTGTCACTGCCAGCACTGAACTAGCTTGTCATCTCACCATATCTACCATTTCTCCATGTATGCTGTATGCAGCTTCTAAGCTCATGATCAGACTCAGCTGTGCAACTGACAAACTCAACACTTTTACCCAGGCAGAGTCATTCTGGATACTTCTGACTGTGGCATGGGCTGGTCAGTTTTGAGAACAATCTGGAAGCCACCAGGTGGTAATAAAGTTCAGAAGTTTCTAGAAAGGGAGGTGCATATGTATGCTGTCCCCAAGCTCTCGTCATGCAATGGTATCTCAATAATTTGTGTCTGATGATCTCAGTTTCTCCACATTTCAGACTAAAACTAAAAAACTAAGCTCCATGGCTTGAGTCCGCAGGTGCACTATACTGACCAAGCAAACCACCGCTTTTCAGCGAAGTTAGTGCCAACTTTAGCAGATAGAGGGGGGGTTGCGTGGTCAGTGCAACAAATCCCTGTGGCCGTTAATTTTCGGTTTTCTAGACCGGAGCCACTGTTTCCTTGAAATAGCTCCTCAGTTATCCTCAAGAGGCTGAGTGGACCCTGTTCCAGACCCACTAATTCTCAGAAAATCTGGTAGTGCCCAGAATCGAGCCCAACCCTCTGGATCTGTAGCCAGGAACTCTGACCACTAGACCACATAGGCAGTCCATGTTTCAGCGTATTAGACCATAATCAGATGGACTGACTACAGTCTGGGATGCCTCCAGGCAAATAAACATATACTGATTCCTTATTTGCAGCAGCTGCTACTAATATAAAGTTCAACTAAAGAAGTAACTTACCTCTAATTTCATCATAAGCAGTAAAATACCGTCACACTAGTATTAAATATAAACATTCAAATGTTTGTACAAAATCCATAGCATGGCAGATGTATTTGTTTCATGTTACCTAGTGTTCCTCTTTTTCTTTTCATGAGTCATGTTCATGACAAACTCAGAATATATGGGCTGGCTCTGAAGGTTTAGTGACTTTTGTATTAATGTATGTAAGGAACTATTAGCCAAGCTGTTGTAAGTGTAATGTATTTGTATAAAAATGTTATAAAGAGTCTGTGTATTTTGTTATTATGGCCTTGTTTACTATGTGTGTTTCTCACACTCCTAGATTCACTGGTAGTGGTGCCGTATTGTTTCCCCTCCATGGTTCCTATCATAAAGTCTGAGTGAAAAAGCTAGTTTTTAGTTTTAAGTTTCCAGCTATTGACAACTAAATCAAAGCAACAAGTGTAATGTAGTATCCTTCTCTGTGCATTCTTTTTGGTGGAAAGAGGATGGAAATCCCAGTGTATTTTTTGACATTCCTAGGGATTTATACTAAAGGGCAGTCCTCAAATTATCAGAACTGTAACAGAACTGACATAGTTTCAGGATTCATTCATGTTGAAGTCCTAGCATTACTGGTGTGTTTGTCCTTTAACCTTTTAGTTAATCAAACATAGTACAGTTGCAATATGATATTTAAGCATCCTGTTGCACTCTATACGATATATGATATAAACTCCGTCCTAAGTGCAACAATTTATTGTAGGTCTTTCGTCTTGCTTTCTTCTATACTACATGTTTCAGCCGCAAACGGCCATCATCAGGTGTATACACTCACGTAGCTGTTACACTGCACCCAGTTTAAAATTTAAAAACATACAGGTCTTCCCAATTGTTCCCTTCGTCGCTGCTAATTGGGAAGACCTGTATGTTTTTAAATTTTAAACTGGGTGCAGTGTAACAGTTATGAGAGTGTATACACCTGATGATGGCCGTTTGCAGCTGAAACATGTAGTGTAGAAGAAAGCAAGACGAAAGACCTACAATAAATTGTTGCACTTAGGACGGAGTTTATATCATATATCATAGTACAGTTGGTTCTCAACTTACAAGTGCCTGACATGTGAATATCCAGACATACAAACAGCATGAGAACTCTTCATTTTTATTTTTATTTCTTTAGTTTTCTCTACGTATATGTCTGTAGGTGTTTAATGTGCTCTTTAATATTCATTTATAAGGTAAACTGCATACAGTGTTATAGGTTAAATAGGATATGTTCATAAACTCAGGTACTCAGCTATGCTAAATATGTTTTGACTTAAGACATGGGGCTATTGGACTGATTTGTAAGTTGAGCATCAAGCATAAATTGATGATTTCTTTGTAAGTATAATAGCTCATCAGGTGTGCCTATATAGTAATTGCTGTAGTACATACTTTTTTCTTCAAAATGTGGTGACAATATTAAAAAATGTATACATTCATTATAACTGGGTAACTGAACACATGACTGGTGTAACAGTGATACAGTACAACCTGCTTTTGTCGTATTGTATCGATTTCCATGAACAGGAGCAATGATGAACAGAAGCTGTATAGTACATAACTGAACAGTTCGTTTTAGGAAAAGTATTTGCAGAATATATTGACTACCAAAAGTAAGTAAAGAGAGAAAACTGAAAATGTATACAGCTCATTGAAAGCATACAGTATATAGTATATATATGTGTGTGTAACATGAATTTATGACATGTGATTGGAATTGTAAACACGTGGTATATGTAAAGTGCAATATTTTTTATTATCCAAATACATATTTTTTTTGGGAGTTGCTGACAGTTATACCTATCTACTGATATATAATAACCTTAAGGTATAGATTGGTTATTGTTAATTACACAGATTGGTTTCCCATAACCGTACCATTACACTACAAGGAAATTATCTGAAAGCCTTCCACAGATTGTTCCACTAGTCCAGCAGAAGAGAGATGACCCTTTTATGGATGTTCAGACCCGTAGTGAATCAACAGGCCCATGGGCAAACAAATAACAGTAGATACTGGGAATGCGCCCTCTTGTTTTGCACACATTATATGCATATGCGTACTGTGTTTGCATTTGTGTGTTGAAGTTCCTTTCTGGAAAAGGAGCAAACTCAAAACTTTAAAGCTGATGTATTAAACCCTGGTCTTCTGTGCAGTGTGCCTTAAGAGCTTTTCGGGAGGAATGTTCAAGCCTAGAACTGATTTAATCCTATTTCTGTTCAGAGAGCACACATTGTTTCCATTCAGCACATTTTGTCTGGTAATGATACTGTTTGTCCATATTTATTACAATTTGGGGGGGGGGGCAGAGGGGGTGCCATAACATCCTGAAGTCTCTGCCAGAATCCACTCCTTGCCTATCATGTGGGTATCATATATTAACACTTCTTTCAATGTCTAACTCTCACATGGCATTTTGACATGAAGTAATACATATGGCTAGATGTTTAACATGGTAACGGGTTTTGGATTACAGATGACAGACAATATGTAAGTTCTCTTCATGGTAGCTGTTCAACAGTTTATGGAAGAAATTATGTGTATAGGCTAATGACCCTCAAATTGGACCAGCTGAACATTTTATGACAGGCTCTTGGATAGTCTGACCTTGCTGCCATCTGTAAGCCGAATGTCTAGAAAATGTGGGAACCTTAACATCTTGCAACCCTGTGGGCTTCCATGGCCTGTTACAGGGATACCTTTAGTTTTAGTTACTTACTTGGATAATCTGTCTGTATTTCTATATGCTATGAATTATAGTTAGAGCAATTGTTCTGGTCACGTCACAAAAATATTTGAAAGGAACACTGATGCTCTGTGAGCCAATACCGTAACTTACGAAGAATGAGGTGAGAAGAGGGAGGTAAATAGGTCAGCAGCAACAGTGCAGCTCTGCAGCTAAGCTTTATTATTCATCATGTGTTATTCCATATTTGAACTGGAAACAGACACAGGGACTAAATTAAGTGTTCTTGCTATAGGGAATGAACATGAAAGGGAACATTATGTATCTATGAGTATGTATATTGCTTCATGAAATTATATCATTGACACAAAAATGACAGTAACATCACTTGGACATATGACCAACCTTGAGTAATATCACAGTGAATGAAGGTCAAAGGTTGCTTGATAGCAGATATTTTATAGGCCTCTTGTATAATCTCATTAAATGAATCACACGAAGACCTCATAGGCACTGGGATGACTCTCTCACTCTTTCTTTCTCTGCATGAACAGGCTGTCCAGCCTAATTACAAGGAAGAGGAGGAGGAAATGAATCCCAATATACCTACACAGTTTATTCCTTAATATTTTTCTATCTAATACAAACACCCAGAACCTCATTCTGTCATCTCTCAGCTTTTGCTAAATATAATCATGTGACTTATTAATTGCATTTATGCATGTATTGGTTCTTTGTCCTCACTGCTCATCTGCAATGAAATTTTCAGAATTTATGCGGGGGTTTTGTTGCTGTTTTAGTTGTTAATTATGTCAGAATTTGATATATAATTTAGTTTTAAAATTATTAGTTAAAATGTATGTAAGAACTGAGGCTAAAAGCTTGCAGTTTCTTTTTTGGTGTCTTCAGTTCCATTCTATCATTTATTCCTGTTGCTCCCACTTGGAGCATAGGGCATCTGTGAAATGCTCCGTTTCACTTCAGTTTCTTAATCATAGGACTTCTTGAATGGGATTTGAACCCACGATCCCAGTGTTTGAGTGAGCTAAGACATTTCGTGCCTTAGACCATGGGGCCACTGTGATGGGCCTTCAGTTGCATTAGAGATTACTAGTAAGGACAGTGAGCCATTATATAAATGTAATAACCTGATGATATTTGGCAAATGGCAAAGCTTGTCATAAAAATGAGCTCGTGTGCGTATTAGGAAAATTATGTTGTACTACTGTAACATAACACAGGTTATGCACACTATTTTTTATGGCCATACTGATAATAAAACTACAAAATTTCATCTTTATAGTTGGATATAATTATCTTTGTTATTGCCATGTCTGTTTGTTTCATTCCTATTCCTTCTTCTGCTCTTTTAGTTCACTAATTCTCATGCATTTATGAATTATTTATTTACGCCATTGTTTGCATCACACAGGTGCTGGCATTGGTTTGTCTTCAAGTGCTGCAATGATATTTTTTGCTGCCAGAACTGCCATGGCTGTGTGTGTTTTCGTAGTTGCACTGCCAATATGGGGGAGCAATACTGAAAATAAAACATGCTGTTATATTTTGTAATATCATAAGCCTAACATGATATACACAAAGGGCATTGTATTATCAAAATAATGTCATAGTTTTGCTGCTAAACGCTGAATGATCTCTATTAAGCAAATTTTAAAAAAGTAATAAAAGATTGCATTGTGGTTACTTTTTAATCGGGTTTGCATTTTTTACTTTGTCATCTGTAGATACAGAAATCTTAGCAAAATTCTACTTAAAATCACTAAAAGCCAAATTGATTTAAAATAGGTGATTTCCTTTAAAATGTAATGGGACTAAGTGAACTGTGTATGAGAGCTAAGAGGATTTATCACAACAGGGGACCCTGAGAGCCCTGTTCAGAAGGATAATGCCAGATATTTCTTCCACACTGGTTGCACCAAGCAGGTTGATACACTGGAATAGTAGCCAGTTACATAGCTATTCCACCCGACCAAACTTTGCTATATAACATCTAAATTTTCGCTGGCACTAACTTCACCGACAAGCGGCAGTCGCTCAGTTGGTATAGTTCGCTTGTGGACTCAAGCCAAATAAGGTAGTACTCACCACAGTTAGGGAGACTGAGCAGTGGGCTGTCTGTTGGTAGTGGTTCTGGAGTCATCACATCGAGTCCTGCTCCAAAAATCTTTCCTTCCTTGAGGGCTTTAAGCAAAGCTGGCTGATCAACAATGCCTGAGATACAAAACTCTGATAACTATTGGCTTGTCTTCTCCAACTTAACTGTGTGGTCAGCATGGCATTCATATAATAAGTCAGCCATAGTCACAGACGTTTATAGAGTATCACTGGGAGTATGTAGTTGGGGAGCCACATTTTGGTATTCAGAACACACGACCATAATGTTAAAGCTTTCCCTACATCAACAAAATAAAGATTAAAATATATAAGACTACAATTTCACTTTTGTTTTGTGCAGGTGGTGAATATGGTGTCTCATCTTGAAGGTGAAACATGTACTGAGGGCAAGTGAGAACATGGTGTTGGGGGCCTAAGAGAGAGGAAGTAGTAAGAGATTGGACAAAACTGCATAATGAGGAGCTTCAAAATTTATATTCACCAAATATTTGGGGCACTATGCTACAAGCTGGAAGGTCATGGTATCGATTCCCGATGAGGTCATTGAATTTTTCAATTGACTTAATCCTTCCAGGCACATTATGGCCCTGGGGTTTACTAGCAATTAACAGAAATGAGTACCGGGAATCTTCCTGGGATTAAAGGGCGGCTAGCCATGGGGAGATGAGCGGTGCATCAAAAATTTAGTTGAAAAACCAGAAGGGAAGAGACCAGCTAGGAGATATAGACATATACAGGAGAATGTAATTAAAACTGGTCTTAAAGAAATAGGCTGTGAAGGTGTAAACCAGATTCACCTGTGTAGGATTTGAGGTTCTCACAGCAGCAGTTATGAAGAGTTCTGTCATCTGGAATATAATGCCGTACAGTCTGTTGAAAGTCAAACAACATTTCAGAGGAACATGTCACCTCTATCTTCAGGGTTGAAGACTAAGCCAACCATGAAAGCAGGGTGAAGCAGGTCCTGGCTCAAGATAGGGTCCAGTAGCAGGTTCTTCTGAACATGGTAATGAACCTTTGGTTTCCAAAAAAGTTCAATTTTTTGACCAGGTGAGGAACTGTTGTTTTCTCAAGAAGAGCTCTGCTCCATGGATTGGCCTTATTTGCTTCTTTATATAAAATAGTCTACCCTCATATGTAACCACACTGAAAAACTCCATCTGAAACTGCCTTAAATATTTTATGTATTTAAATTTTGTGAATTTTTATTTAACATGATATAAAGTTATGGGTGATGCTTCTTTACATGAAAGCCTGAATGAAATTCTGATCATCTGTCTAAATATTATGATGTCTTGCAAATATTTTTTAATAAAATATATGTAACATAATACACATTTCAAGTATTAGGGAATTTCTTGATTAAAGAACATCATACCTTGTGCAGGATACCTTATGGAAGATAAAACCTGTGTATGTTTTAATTTCCCACTGACATTGAATACAGGAAGTATGTTGAAAAGAGAATCTATTAAATCTCTAATATTGACATAATAGCCCACATCACTAATTGTTGAAGCTTCTTTTTTTCTTTTTTCTTTTTTTTCATAGTAGATAGAGTATAGCAGGACAACTTCTACTTCTCAAAAAGCACACTGCTCTATGGAGTTGGTTATGCATTTTTAGTACTATGAGGCATTTTTGAGAAGTAAGGAAAGAACAGAAAATTCACCTGAATTATTTGCATAAACAGTATTAAAGTTATAGTTTATGCTGCCAGTATTTTAAATATATTACCAAGCAGTTGATTTTATAGCATATTTTATGTTAGAAGAGTAATGTAGATCTTAATAATTGCTCTGGAAATTAAATACAGCTTTACAGGTTTTTAAATTTTCACTGCAGTGATTGTTCAGGTTTTGATATTCTGGATTGTGACAGTATTATAGCATTATAGGCAGATGACACTGTTTTGGAGGGGCATGCTGCCTCCATCGTCAAGGTAGAATGCTTCAGCATAATGTCACAACCCAGAAGACCAGTTTCTTTTAAAACTGTCAAAGATTATTTGATAAGTCTCCAATCTCAAGCAGTATAAGAACATTCGTGAGTAATTGTAACATAACTAGGAATTTGAACCCGTCAGAAATATACAGTATGAGCAGCTGAAATATTTCAATAAATTCTAATCTGCAATGGGATTGGGATATGAATTGAATGAGACTGTGAACAGGTAGCTTACTGTGCAATAATAATGAGCTGCATTAATGAGCACAATGAAAGGATAAAGATTTATCCCACAAACTTGGTTCCATGATATTATCCAAGCAAATTTAAATACACAAAATTCTTTATTTGGATCTGTCGCAACACAACAACGAAACAGTCTAGGTCAATATCACCTTAGCTACATGTTTCGGCTTTTAATGCCATCGTCAGGCAAATACAGTATGCGCCAAAATATGCAGTACTGAAATTCGCGCATCTCGAACACACATGTGTTTGTTGATGGGACATAGCTCCAGCCACACGTATTCCCAGTAGTGAAAAGGAAGTTGTGTTGTGCAATTTTTGGGAATGGATCTCTCGATGGAGGAAAAAGTATTCATAGCTGAGTATTATTTCCGCTCATATGGAAGTGGTTGCCAGAAAACTCGCTTCCTTGGTTTTGAACGGCCATATGTTATCGTCCAGAAACCGCTACATAGTACACATGTGATGATATGGTGTGCCGTCTCAGCACACGGTATATTAGGCCCCTATTTCATTGAGGATGAGGAAGGCAATGCTCTTACCGTCACCCAAGAACGATACAGGGACATGGTGATCAGACAGTTTCTTCAGGATTTGAGAAGGTTCTGTCATGTAAGGGGCCTTCACATGAATAGACAGTGGTGTCAACAGGATGTCTTTTCATTTCAGTACTGTATTTTTGGCACATACTGTACATGGTTACTACATTCACACACTATTGAACTGTATTTCAGTGATATGGTACAGTGGAACTGGATACTTGGCAACTACATATGTTACACTATAATTATACAAAGTATAAAAATACAATAAAATTATAAAATTTTTATAAAATGAAAGTTATTTAATAAAATATGATTAAAAACTATTCATGTAATGCTTCATACTATGAAGTCAGTAGTTGTGATCTTGTTGTTATATTCCAGAGGATATATAGCAGTATATGCATGACTTGTACATGTAAAGTTAACCGCTTGGAGGCCCGTGGTACTGGTGTAGTATTATTTGGTATTTATTGTTTAACCGGTGCCTCATTTTACAGTGTATTTTGTCCGCTCTGGTTGGAATTCAGATTGCAATTAATATGTGTGAATGTAGTAACCATGTACTTCCCTGATGATGGCTTTAAAAGCTGAAACATGTAGCTAAGGTGATACTGATCTAGACTGTTTTGTTGTTGTGTTGCGACAGATCCAATAAGGAATTTTGTGTAACGAACACAACAGGATGCTCCCAATGAAAATTTAGATACAGTTTTCTGGGCTTGTGATATACCTTAAAAGTAGAGGTGAGGTGGTTAAATAATTCAAAATTGGAGCCCAGGATCTGAGCCATTCTTTACCGCTCTTAGGGACAAAGAATTGGAATGCTTTGAATAAACTCACCTCCACGAGCAACATTGACTAAGACAGCATTGGGTTTCATTTTATTAAATGCTTCTTCATCGAACATTTCTCGAGTTTCTTCAGTCAGTGGACATGCTACTATCACAAAGTCACTCTGCCTCAAGAGCTGATCAAATGGAACAAATTCTGCACCATATTCTTTGGCTGAAAAGAAAAGTGACAGGAATCAATGGCCTGTTTGACAAATTCAGTATATATCCAGTAAAACTTTGGATGTATGGAAGTTATACAGACATGAGATATGATTAGGTTAGATTTTCATTTATTACATTTACTGACAATATATTGCATGTAATAAAGTTGTCCCTGTGCTTAATTAATTCAGTACCATGCCGTGAAGGCATATGAGGGAGTGGAGATATAGCTACACCATTCTTAAACTCTGCTCTATTTGAAGGTGGGTGACAAGGTTCATGCTCCTACCACTTCACCCCGGGGGGAAAGAATTCTTGGTGTCCGTTGAATTGGAGGCTGGGTGAGCTCCATAGCCAGTATGGATTCTGTGGAGAAGAGAACATTTTTTTGCCAATGCCATGAATGAAACCCCAATTCCTCAGCTGTATAAGTCGGTTGCCTGTTGCTATACTGACAACTGTCTTGGCTCTGCACATGGTGATTATTCAATTTTAAAACCTGGTTTATCTCATTCATAACAAATATGCTTCAGGAAAGTGGCAAACATATTTCAAAGTCACCACTTTTAAACAAAAATGAATTCGTCCTCTGTACTATCACTAGAAAATGACAGTCAATTTTATTATTCAGAAATTACACTAAAATATTATTTGAGTATCCATTTGTTTATTAACATTCTGATATAATCTTGTTTTTCCTTTAATGCTTTATGCTTACCTTGCAGTTTAGGTGAATGTCCAGAGTAAATAATTTGTCCCACTTCAAAAGGTATAAGACGTTTAGCAATAGCTTGCCCAATTCCACCAAAGCCCACAATGCCAACTGTAGAGCCTTGAATATCTTGGCCAATCAGGTTTTTGAGCTGATGTGGTACCCATGTATTACTATATACAAAACAGAAATGATCTGTACAATAATGACACAGGTGTATAGGTATTTTGAGAATTGAAATATGAATAATAATCGTTTTTCTAAAAATGAATTCCGTGTTACTCAGGAACTGGATATTTTTTAAATACTTCAACAAAATATCAACCATCAAAATAATGAAAGAACTTACACAGAAATACAATAATGGAGAAAATAAGGAATTCTTACCCTGGACTAAAGTTAGAAAATGACACTGAGATTGTGTTCACACCACTTGTACTCAGTCTAGATGTACACTGATAAGTGCATGAAATACTGGCTTCTGAATAAAGTTAAATGTTGTGAATTAGAAAACTGACTGCAATGTTTAAATTGTCATTGTTATTTGTTCATTTAAGCTATCAGCTTATTATTTCAACTTTAAAAGGCAGATGGAATATGGACAATAGTAAAAAAAAAGTTTGGTGGATTTTAATTCAAAAATATGTTGAGGGTTTGAGGATCCAGCTTATGGTGGGTCTATTTAACAGTGCTGTCAGTGGCTTTGTATTATTCGTGTCTGAAGAAAGGGCATGGGTCACTGTTGCAAACCAAAAATTGTCAAAGGAAATATGATGGGAATTAATGCAGAAAACAAGAATTTTTTCTCTCTCACTTTTCCTCTCTGTATCCTCTCCCCCTACTAAATCCCATTTCATATGAAGTATTATTTGCTGTCACTTCCACTTTTTTAAACACATATAGATAGTCACAGTTCAAAAATAAGTCACATTTTTTTTTTCTTATACATTCAGGGTTGAATGATGAATTATGTCTTACTTCTCAATTGTGATCCGACCTTCGTGCAACCGGCGTGCTGTAGCCAGACAAAGAAGTACAGCCACCTCTGCCACAGCAGCATTCAAGACATTAGGTGTGTTCCCAAATTTGATCCCTCTTTTTTTAAGTTCCTTCACATCAATATGGTCATATCCAGCTGACATGGTTGCTAACACCTTCAAGTTGGGCCCTGATAATGGCAAATCAGTCTTATAATGATCTGTGGTATGCCAGGGTTAATGTTCTCATAACAGTACTCTATCCTATATAACTTAAAACTTTATTGTGGTTTCCCATAAATTTTAGAGTGAAGGTCAGGTCTGGGGTTCATAATTAAATTATGAATTGTAAGTAGAGAATGATCAAAGATAACTCACACATTACAATAATTAGTGGATTTTTTCCTCTGAAAAGAAAGGAGCCATTGCTTCAGTATGACAGAGGAGAAGAGGTTGTACCTATTTAAATGTTCTGACAAAACGTATAAAATATTGAAGATGATCTTGAATTTCTCATGTCATACTTCCATATAATTCCATGCTTAATAATGTTTAATTTGTATTATTGGTGTGGTTTATAAAAATATGTGCTTTTATGATGCACTGTTGTGTATTATCTGAGAGAGAATCCTGATAGTTATATGAAAATGGAGAAACAGCTTCGAATCGGCCACTTCTGATGGAATTATCAACAGAAACAATCTTCCATAACAAATAGATTCTGAGATTTAGTTATACTGCATTCTCAAAACCTGCATCTATGAGTTTATAGTTGGTGGATATTTAAACATGTACTACAAAAATTTTAGGATATGATGAATATTTCCCTATTCATCTCAAGACCTTATATTAAGTCTAGTTCGCAAATATTTGAGGTTGTATACTACTATAATGTTATGTCAGGGTGCTTGATGATGAGGACTTAAATGTTGGCAACTTGTGCAGTAGAACTTGGAAAATAGACCAGCTATATCTAATGAGCAATTTTGTCTCAATTCTGACTATGTGGAGAAGAGTCCTTCTTGGGAGTCTTGCAATCAATAAGCTAGTCAGATTCCCAGTGTTTTATAGAACTGAATGATCCATTATTATGGTCAATAATCCTGCTTTTGGTCCCTATCCTGAGTAAGGTAAATCCAGTCAACCCTCTCCCATCCTATTTCTTTAAGACACAGTTTGGTATCCTTCCATCTACACGTAAGTCTTCTGAGTTATCTCTCACTTCAGATTTTCCTACTAGTTTTTTTGCCACTAAAAATTAACAACCTGTTGTCTGAATAGCATGGAAAGCTTTACGATCCCTCTGCTAGCAATAGTCATCTTCATTTCATTTTGTCATCAGCAGGAACAGATAGATCCTACATAATGGGTGTTCCAATAAAATGTGATTTTTTTTTACTTTCACTCTAGCCACTTGGAGAAAGGCCAGGAATGTCGGAGAACCCACAAAGGGATTATATCTGTAAGACTTACTAAGTTTCAAGAAATCAGCAATGCTGATGTTTATTCTAGATAATATGACCTCATTTGCTATTGTGAAATTCAGTGCCTAATAACACAATTTTAGAAAATGACAAGATGTAGATGTTTTCCTTCAGATTTCTTTTGATGCATCCTGTAATAACTTGATAGATGTCTCACAAAGAAAAATGTGACAATCTGGTGTATTTTCACCATCATGACTTTCATCTTTCCTCCAGTGCTCTTCACCAGGCTGTTAAGCTGTGAACTATATTTTTAGGTAGATGTGGTCATAATTCCAGTAAAGCCCTTTTACTTAAATCAGAGCATACAAATTCACATTTATTAGTCTTGGTACTGCATACCATTCAGTGTACCACAATTATAACATGTTTTTTTTTTCTTTTACCTGCTTTATCCAACATTTCACTGTCCACTTTTTCTTTAGAAAACCAAAGTACAGCATCACTTCCACTAATTCTTTGCAATATTTGTTGCCTTGATGGGAAGGGCAGTTCTGGACACACATCCACATCATATCTGATTCAAAATGAAAACGTTCATATACTCGTTATTTCAATTATTAGAAACATACATCATAAAGTGTTCATCCTATTCCAGGTCAGGAATGTTAAGGGTCTATTGCAGACTTCACTGCTGGAAAAGAACCTTTGTAAATCAGAAGGCTATCTGTAGGGTAAAAAAGGTAAAACTATCCCTGTAACAGGCCATGAAGGCCCATAGGGTTCTGAGACATCGAGGCTCCCACATTTTCTTTAGACAATCGTCTCACAGATGGCGATTAGGTTGTCAGCCTTACGTGTAGGCTGCCCTTTACCCCTCAGGAAGAACCCTGGTACTCATTTCTGTTAGGGGCTGAGCTGACACCAGGGCCATGGTGCGGCTGGAAGGATTAGGTAAATTGAAAAAATCAACATCGGGACTTAAACTCGCGACCTACTGGCTTGTAGCATAGTGCCTCAACCAACTACGCTACCACGTGCCCCCTCTTTTTAGGTTACCTTCCTTATCTCTCAACTGAAGATATTTCTATAATGGGCTTATGGGTTTGAAACAGGCCCTGTAACTTTCTCAAGTGATATCACTTTATGTGGCCCTCACATTGAAATACAGAACTTCAGATTTGAAGAATACATGTGGAAAATTACAGGATTTCTGATAATTTTCAGAAATGCAGTTTAAAGGTCAAAAATTAAATATTTATAGACTTTTGAGACCATATCCATTTCTGATTTTAAATTATATAAATAAGTATCTTTGTTTCAGTGAACTATAACTGATAAAATTATATAATATTGTTAAATTCTTAGTGTTTTACCAGACATCCCTCTTTTTCCTTTGTCTAATGACTCTGCCCAGGACAAGATGTTAAATTATAAACTGGCCAAAAAGAATGTATTGTTTGCACACACACACACACACATACACATATGCATATCAGTTTGAAATGTTTCTTCTAAATTTTTATTGTCTGGTCATATTTGGTGTCAAATTCTAGGGTTATTTCTGCCCTCATATTTCCGTAAAGAAAGAGAAACCTGTCAGGTTAAGATGCAAACTAAGTAGCTTCTGCAAACACATCACTGGGCTATGATATTCTATTGCAGCATCCTGTTGCACTGTATATTCCAATTTTAGCACCCTCACTTCACCCTCTCTGCTCAACTTTGCCCATATGTTAAAGATCACACTTTGAAAGCTCTTTGCCTCTTCCTATTATTTATTAACACTATATATTTTAGCACAATTAGCCATCATCAGATGTATAACTCTTTCAAGTAATTTTTTATGTTATCATGGCATGATTACTTTTGTTATGCATGCATGTTATGGGTCTTATGTATATTTCTTTGGTGTGTTAGGTTCTTTCCTTTGTGCTGTGTGTAGTTGTTGTCATTGTAGAGAAGCTATAAATAAAGTAAATATAACAACTGGAAACGTAAAAAGGTAGCCAATAGACATCCAAGAAGTATGAATTATAACATGTAAGAAGTAAAGTGGTTAAAATCGTTAAATGTTGCACATTTTATTATGACATAAATTCATTATATTAGATTAGATGTCGTAGGTTGGTGTGTATATTTATATATATGGTCGTTCATTACATTTGATGAAAGCTTAATTGCATGTATTATGTTTGCAGTTACAACCTTGAATTTTGTCTGATTGAATTTGGTGTTCACTCTGCCTTCAAGGAATCTGTTAATTTTTTCCTAGCCATCAAGATATCTGTCGTAATTGTGATCTATGTGTTACATTTATAGTCGTTGTGGAAGTTTTTGTATGAAATTCATGCATAGGATTTTGTATTTAGTATGTCATGAATGTCTTCCCTGCGGAGGGTTGTGTGGATATTGGTTTGTAATTTTTGTGTAAAATTTTCAGAGTTCCTCTAACAGTTTTTTTTTGTTGTTGTTGATAGACAAAAATTTCTGGGAAGAACTAATCGCCTTCTTTCCTTTGATAGGACACAGACCGCAAAGGAAACGAAAAAATTAAGGGGATATACACAGACGGCGAAGTTATCTCATAAGCCTAAAACATTAGGAGNCCGATGTGAACCACGTGGAGAGGAGAAAAGTCTTGCCCTACCGGGACACGACCTCCGAGTCCTCGGCTGTCCAGCTCACAGCCAGTCTCTAGGCTATACCGACTCCCAGTCTACTTTCCTTATAATGTTATATTTTAGCGTCCTGTTGCACTGATTCACGTTCAAGATGTGTATTTGTACCAACCGTCTTACAGTGCACACAATTTCACTTTTCTCCTCACTACATGTTTCGGCACTAATGTGCCATCTTCAGGTGTGTTTTTATTTATGTCAAACCATTGCACTGTTCTGTGTTGTGTCCTTTCCTTGTGAGTGCGCGCACGCACGCACGCACGCACGCACTCACAAGGAAAGGCCACAACACAGCANGAATTTTAAGTGCGACATATAGATGATAAATCTTGAAAAGTTTTAATATATAAACTTTATTATCATGACATATACATTTTAATCATTTTATAAAGGAGACATGATGGCATACAGTGCAATGGTTTGACGTAAATAAAACCACACCTGAAGATGGCACATTAGTGCCGAAACATGTAGTGAGGAGAAAAGTGAAATTGTGTGCACTGTAAGACGGTTGGTACAAATACACATCTTGAACGTGAATCAGTGCAACAGGACGCTAAAATATAACATTATAAGGAAAGTAGACTGGGAGTCGGTATAGCGTAGAGACTGGCTGTGAGCTGGACAGCCGAGGACTCGGAGGTCGTGTCCCGGTAGGGCAAGACTTTTCTCCTCTCCACGTGGTTCACATCGGCCCTGGGGCCCATCCAGAATACTACCCAATGGGTACCGGGGATTAAAACGGCCGGGGCGTGAAACTGACCCCTAATTATTGCCGAGGTGAAGAATATGTGGATATATGCATCGACTCCTCCATACATCTACATGGCGCAATGCTCAATTAATTAAGCACAGGGACAACTTTACCTCTTTTACCTTTATGGAAAGTGGCTAAAAATTCGATGATTGAAGAACGCTTATTGTCTTATACATAATAAAGGCACAAAGTCATATTCCACATAATCTTTGACACTGCTGTTCTAAAACTTTTCTAATTTACGTTCTGGTATATACGTGTATCCACTCTGTCTCAGCGTTACTAGCGGGGTCTAAGAATGTTTATTTACAACATGAAATTGACACACTTAAGTGGTACTGAAGTGTGAGGGATTCCTTCATTACCCATTTTGGTACAATCGCAATTAAGAGTTATGCGTAAGGGCGTATGGTTGTGAAGTCTTCCCCTGATGATAGAGAAAAAGCTATTAATCAAAAACTACTCTCCGGAGATATGGACTAGATCTATCGATTCGGCTCAAGTGAGCAGGCTTTTTACCTGAGGACAAAGGCAGGATGATGGATAAGGTCCAAAAAGTCAATACCATTAATTTTTCCATCTGCGGCAAGATAGTGGCTGATAAGTAAGCTGCCTATAATTTGCTGACCGGCAGCTGTCCGTGGGCAACTACTGCTGTCTTGTGCATTTTTGCATTTTGGCGTTTTAGATGTGTAGAAGATATAATGTAGGAGCCGAGATAGCGCAGTCGGTATAGCGTCTGGCTATGGACTGGACTGGACGACCGAGAAGTCGGAGTTTGAGTCCCGGTAGGGTCAATAATTGTCACTTCTCCATCTCGTCCAGACCGGCTCTGGGGTTCATCCAACCTCCTATACAGTGCGTACTGGGGGGCTCTTTCCCGGTGGTCAAGCGGCCGGGGCGTGAAGCTGATCACCTTAAACTAGTGCTGAGGTGAAAAAGTTGTGGATCTATATATCCACTACCCCATACGCCTTCATAGCGTAGTGCTTAATTGCTTAAGCAGAGCGGCAACTTTGCTTTTACCTTTTAGAATATATGTCTATTACTATGAAGTTTAAACATATCATGGATACCTGTGTATCCAGCTGAGGAGACTGCACAAAATGAGAAGTGACCAAATGAAGCGGTGAATGAAGGCCCAAGAGAATATGTGTGTGTGTGCGTGTGCGTGTGTGAGAGAGAGAGAGAGAGGAATGGCTGGCCTGTCGACCAGGTTGCAAAGCTCGCACGGTTCAGAGCGATGGTAAACCTCTATTTCTGGTTAAACACTTCTCACTATGTAAGTATTCAAATATTGAAGTGCATATACTTACCTCTCTTTTAACATTTCTATAGCCACCTGCTGCAATCCAGAATTGGTAACGAGAACGCGTAATTTTCCCATATTAGCGGAAATTTGACCCTAACCTGCATGCCACGAATAGTCCTGAAAACTAGTCCACTACGTCACCCGATACGTACAGCATTTTTGTTGAATTTATCGGCTGATAACGCCCCGTACAAACAGTAACGTAAGAGAACTTCTGATATTTTCACTTACGTAATGTCGTACGAACTAACTTTTCAAAAGACCTTGAGGATTAGTTGACATTTTTTCACTCGTACCAAATAGATGGCGTTGAAGCATTCCTACTTAAGGTAGGATTCGTAAGAAGCGGTTAGAGCCTCACGACTCAAGCCGCAGCGGCTGTACGTTGCACCAATCCTAAGACGCGGCTGCAATCGGGTATATTTGGTGCGATTGGTATAATACTTCCCGATAGTGAGAGGGAAATGCATGGATAAAAGCGGTGTTTTTCGTCTACTGTTGCTCGAAGATGAGGAAGACGATGAAATTTTACATCCTGATATTGAACGAGAATGGTGGAAATACACGCAGATCTGCGCATGACCTGTTCAAAGCAAGAGCGGAGGAGGCATTAAATACCATCCTAATTAATAGGCACCTAATGAAGGATGAATGTGCCACTAATTCAATTAAAACAATGTCTTCTGTGCTTGAAAATGCCATTGTTGTATCTTCTCGAAGCGATGCGATCCATTCGACTGTGCGGCTATACTGGTCTTGAAGGCAGTCGCCCAGGGCCGCACGTCCAGAGACGCTGCGGCTGAATAATTTCCTACTGCGCATGTGCAGACCGCCGCAACGCCCAGCCGCAAGAAACGCTTCTTGCGAATCATACCTTTACTCTTCCATCTTGCTTAATGCATGCTTCGCTTAACCTTTGACCTTGAAGATGGAAGCAGTACGTTCCTCTTAAACATCCCGTAAACTTCCACGAGATTACATGTTCACAGTCAATGCCGTGAGAACCAGATCTCAATTCCGTAATCCATTATTGAAAGGATAAATGTGTTTTTCACATCTCCAAAATTTAGGATCTTCATAACTTGTACTCTTCACTAAATATAATTAGATTTATCAAGTCAAGGAGGTGGAGACGGACACGGCATGAAGCACGATAGGGCCAAAAAGAGGAATGCATGTAGGATTTTGGTGGTAACACCAGAAGGAAAGACACCACTAGGAAGACAGACCTAGGTGGGAGGGTAATAATATAATGAATCTTATAGGCGAAAGATGGGGTGGTATGGACTGGATTCATCTGTCTCAGGATTGGAACCAATGGAGGACTCTTGTGGACACGGTAATGAAGCATCGGGTTCCATTAAATGTTGGGGAATTTTTGAGTAGCTGAACGACTGGCAGCGGTTCAAGAAGGACTCAGTTCCGTGAAGTCAGCTATAAATATCACGAGTAAAATGTTGCTTTAGTAAGGAGCTTTATATTTATGTTCGGTTAAAATGGGCCCAGTGTTCTAGATTCAGTTTCTTTTATTTTTTATCATCATGTTACAACTCAGGTAGTGTTAAATAGAGTACACGTGAAGCTCCACTCCATGAATATTAATAAATATAAATATAGGGGACTATGGAGGTCAAATTCCAGACATTCTTAAATTCAGTACTGGATAGAGTGAGTGTTGACATTAGTTTCCTAGGGTTAAAGTAACTGGGGGTGTCCTTCTTACGAAACGTAAAGTCTGTATAGGTAAACATTTGTCTGATAAATTTCCTATCCAGAATGATCTAACAATGAGATGCTCTATTGCCACTCCTTTTCAACTTTGCTTTAGAATACGCCATTAGGAAGGTACAGGAAAACCTGGTGGGACTGAAATTAAGTAGGACATATCAGCCGTTCGTCTATGCCGATGATGTGAATCTACTGGGTGATAATGTAGATACCATAAAGAAAACAAACTTTGATTGACGTAAGTAAGGAGGTTGTCTAGAAGTAAACACTGAGAAAACTAAGTATATGCTGCTGTCTCGTCACCAGAATGCAGGGCAAAATCCTGACATAAAGATAGGAAACAGATGTTTTGAAAATATGGTACAGTTCAGATATTTTGGAACGACGATAACAAATCAAAACCTGATTCAGGAGGAAATTAAGAGGCGATTGAACTCGGATAATGCTTGCTACCATTCAGTCCAGAACCTTTTGTCTTCTCGTCTGCTGTCCAAAAACATAAAAATTAGAATACACAAAACTATAATTTTGCCTGTGGTTCTATATGGGTGTGAAACTTGGTTTCTGACATTAAGGGAGGAACATAGACTGAGGGCATTTGAGAACAGCGTGTTGTGGAGAATATTTGGACCAAAGAGAGATGAAGTGACAGGAGATTGGAGAAAACTGCATAATGAGGAGCTTCATAACTTTCACTCGGAAGTATAATTAGAATGATCAAGTCAAGGAGGGCGAGATGGGCATGGCAGGCCATGTAGCATGAATGGGAGAGACGGGGAATACATATAGGACATTGGTGAGAGAGCCAGAAGGAAAGAGACCACTACGAAGACATAGATGTAGGTGTGTGGATAATATTAAAATTGATCATAGAGATAGAATTGGGTGGTATGATTTGGATTGATCTGGCTCAGGATAGGGACTAATGGAGAGTTCTCGTGAACACGGTAATGAATCTTCGGGTTCCATAAAATGCTTGTGAGTTCTTGAGTATCTGCACAATTGGCGGCTTTTCAAGAAGGGCTGAGCTCTATGAAGTTAGTTATAGATTTTGATGCCACTTAAGAGGACTGCGAATGGTGTTGCTGTGGGGAGAACCGGAACAGCGGGATACAGTCTTCTCACTTCCTGTTTCGTCAGCCATCGCTTCCCTCTAAACTGTCTATGGTTTTTCCTATCGGAGTTACACTTTACGTAAGATTCATGTGAAATCACGTGATGCTCTAGTGTAAACTGTGGTGTAGCGTTGGTAGGTAAGTACCGCCCGTCCTCATGGCTCTTCTGAAAGGGTGGTAACGTTCTACCAGACTCCATGGCGTCACATCCCAGAAAACACAATTCTTGATAGTTACCGCCGTTGAACCTCAAATTTCGCTCAAACGTAAAATTAGCCGTGGTCTGTAGAAAGGAAAACGAGCGCTGAATTACACGTAGTTACCGTAAGGTAGCATCAACTTTCCTGTATCACCTCAGGCGTAAAACGGACCTCTCCCTGCTCATGATCTAATTCTGCAACAAATCCAGTGTTTCCTCAGTCACTACCAACAAACTTCTGTTTCATATTTAGGCCTAACAGGCCGTGCCACAGCTCATTCGGTTAGTCTCTGGCTTCCCATCGCGGAGGCCCAGGTTCGATCCCAAGTTAGGTCATATATGATTTTCGGTGGGCAAAGTTTTCCTCCGAGTACTTCGGTTTCCCCTACCACTTCGCATTCTACCAGCTGCTCCACATTCATTAATCATCCTATCATCGGCTATACTCCCGACACTGTTAAACAAAGGTAAAAAAGGAAAAGCTGTTCCTATAACAGGCCGTGGAGGCCCATAGGGTTATGAGACGTCGAGGCTCCCACATTTTCTAGATAATCGGCTCACAAATGTCTGTAAGTTTGTTAGCCTTATCCGCCGGCCGCGCTATATCCCCAGGAAGATTTCTGGTACTCATTTCTGTTAGAGGCTGAGTCGACCCCAGGACCATAGTGCAGCTGAAAAGATTAAGTAAATAGAAAAATCCAGTGACCTCATCGAGAATCGACCCTAGGACCTTCCGGCTTGCAGCATAGTGCCTCAAGAATCTACGCTACTGCGTGCCCCAAATTTCAATAAAACTTTACGTAAATTACAACATAGAATTACATTTTAAATACTTCTGCAACAACGTAAAGTAGCGGCAGTGATCAATCTATTTTTTTTTTCTTGGCACTACAGCCCCAGTGGGCCTAGGCCTACCTCCATGAAACTCTCCGTTTCACTTTGGTTTACTAGATCTTACACATACGGTAGGACTCCTTGGGCGGGTGATCAGCTCGTCGGAAGGCCTTTACCTGTACACAAACACAGAAAAACGCACACACACAAACTAAACATCCATGCCCTGAGTGGGATTCGAACCCACGATCTCGGTTTCCAAGCGAGCGAAGACAGTACATGCCTTAGAGCGCTCGGCTACCGTGACCGGAGATCAGTCTATTAATTTAGCTTATTCTTTGCTAAAGAGCAAAGAGCAGCTCAGATTAGCTGCCCGGAATGACAGGGTGGTATATGAATAGAGAATTCGAAAGCACGCGAAGAGTCAGTCATGACCCAATTAAGATATTACCCAGCATTTCCTTGGCGGGAATAAAGAGTCCCGCTGAAAGATCTAGAATAGGCGGTCTGTGGACGGAGATTTGAATATCCTGAGTGTAAAACGAAGTAACAGAGACTACCGAATGGACCGCGATGTTCAGTAATATCAATTACTTTTTCATATGAGCAGTTGCGCCCAACAAAAATTGAGTTATATGGGTGTACGCGTAATAAAACAGCTTATGTAGTTTTGCTATTCACGCTGGATTTGTAACAGTCCGAATTACTCTAAACTCGAGGGAATTTCACTGACTGAGTTACTAACTAACTAACTAACTAACTCTATAGAGCCGACTCCTTCTTGAGAAGCTGCCAGTCTCTTAGCTACTCAACAATTTCCTTACATTTCATAGAATCTGAAGCTTCATTGCCGTGGTCACAGGAGCTCCTCACTGGTCCCTACTCCATCTTATCTCAGATCCATTTTAGTATTATCCTCCCGCCTACGTCTAGGTATTCCCATTGGTTTCGAGTCTTCTAGCTATCCCACCACAATCCTATATGTATTTATCTTCTGCACGTGCTTTCTACACGCCCTGCCCATCGCATTCTCCTTGACTTGATCATTCTAATTATACTTTGAGAGGAGTTCAAGTTATGAAGCTCATCATTATGCAGTTTTCTCCAATCTCCCGTCACCTCATCCTTCTTCGGTCCAAAAATTCTTTTCAGCACCCTGTTCTCAATCACCCTCAGTCTATGGTTTTTCCTTTAATGTCAGAGACCAAGTTTCAGACCCATACAAAACTTCAGATACCAAAATATTAAAGGAATTTAGCGACACAGTGGAAAAGAATTGGAGGGAAAACAATCGCTGCCATTTTTTCAACTCCCCTGTACAGGTTAGGTTACCGGGAATTGGTCTGTCGCTCCTTCTGCGTCCCCACCAGTGGAACGCCTTTATAATGGCAGTACGAACTGAAACCATGTAC